TGGTAGCAGTAGACATTTTCAATATTTTGCACAGTAATTTTGGATTTTATATATCTTTATCGAGGCATGAGTAAGTAAATATCATTATTATATAGATGATATTATATATTTTATAAAATGAAATTAAATTTTATGAAGTATTGTATACATTTTATATTAAATATTTATTGACACATTCCACATTTTTGATGTAGTCTTTTATTTTTTACTCTTTCATTTTTCTATTTAATGCTATTCTTAATATTTTCCATTCAAATTATACATTAATTATATAATTATACATTTAAACTCGTCTATTTTAATTTCGTATTTTAATAATATCAATAAATTTATGCATATAATTTGTAACATATCTTAAATTATTATTATCCCATTATTTAACAGATACATATTAATTTTGTATTTTTATAATTTTTAAACATTTTTCTTTCAGCAAATTAATCGTTGCTTTAATCAATTATTTTAAACAAAACCAAACATGACGGAGGACATGTCAGGAGCAGACATCTGTAGAGTATGCAGGTCTGAAGGCCTTGCAGACAGGCCTCTTTTTCATCCTTGCATTTGCACAGGCAGTATTAAATGGATACATCAAGAATGTTTAGTACAATGGATGCGATATTCTCGTAAAGAATATTGTGAACTTTGTGGATATCGTTTTTCTTTTACACCAATTTATAGTCCAGATATGCCACGTCGTTTACCATTAAGGGATGTCATTGGAGGATTATTTTCCAATATTGTAACAGCAGTAAAATATTGGTTGCACTATACTCTGGTTGCAATAGCATGGCTAGGAGTTGTTCCATTAACAGCTTGTCGAACTTATAGAGCATTGTTTAGTGGACCTCTTGATCTAGTTCGAGTAAATACTTTCTTTTAATAATTTTAAAATATGTTTTAATTTTTAATATTCTCTAACAAAAGATGAAAATAGCAGTGTATTTTTATTTGCAGATAATGTCATTACCAATGGATATGTTGTCTGCTGAAAATATATCATCAGATGTATTTCACGGATGCTTTGTAGTGACATGTACTTTGTTTGCATTTATTGGTCTAGTGTGGTTAAGGGAACAAATTTTACATGCCGGTGGACCTGATTGGCTCGACCGAGATAATGTACAATTACCTCCCGTTGATAATCCACCACCCAATGCAGAAGTACCAATACAACAATTCCAAGAGCAAAGAGCTCTTCAACAGCAAGAAATTCAAGATAATAATAATGTACCACCTTTTATTGATGAACCACCAATTTTACCAGAACATTCAAATAATGATAATTTGGAAAACGCAGAAGAACATTGGGCAGAGGAGAATAATTTGGCAAATAATCAGAGAATGGATGAAGTTGAAGGAATTGGTAGAGATGTTGAGCAACATGCTGCTCCCAGAAGTGTAGATCAAGAAATAGAACAACTTGTTAGAAATTTAGAACCACCTGTAGTAATTCCTCGAAATATAGAACCATTAATACCACCTAGAGATGCAGAACAACCTGCAGTGCCTAGAGACGAATTGGGCGTAAATGGTGAACAAGCAAATGCAAGAGGTGGTGAAGGATGGAGAGATCAGGCTCAAGGTCAAGCACAAGGAGAAGATGAAGAAGCAAATTGGAATCCATTGGAATGGGATAGACCTGCAGAAGAATTAACTTGGGAACGTCTTTTAGGCTTAGATGGATCCCTTGTTTTTCTCGAACATGTATTCTGGGTCGTTTCGTTAAATACGCTATTTATTATGGTACGATTTATTTATATCTTTTAAATTTTTGAATATGATATGAAGAAATAATTGATCCCTCTTCAAAATATAATATTTTCATTTTCAGGTTTTTGCCTTCTATCCATATTATGTCGGTAGTTTTATAATAGCATTGTTAGATTTACAAGAATATGCAGCTGCTTCACATTTTGAGGGATTAGTAACTACATTATGTGGTTATTGCGTTACTGGAGTAGGATTAGTAATTCTTCATACATTAGCGGCACCTTTAGGTTTTCAAAGGTCTCAACGGCTATTAGGTTTATGTTATGTTATAGTAAAGGTTTCTTTACTATCGGTCGTTGAGATAGGAGTACTTCCTTTGGTTTGCGGTTGGTGGTTAGATATTTGTTCATTAGCAATGTTTGACGCTACACTTCGAGATAGAGAATCTTCGTTTAAGCTAGCTCCTGGTACTTCAATGTTTCTACATTGGTTGGTGGGAATGATTTATATATATTATTTTGCTTCGTTCATTTTGTTACTACGAGAAGTATTACGGCCAGGAGTACTTTGGTTCTTAAGAAATTTAAATGATCCTGATTTTTCTCCTATCCAAGAAATGATACATCTTCCAATCTTAAGACACGTTAGAAGACTTGTAGCATCTGCAGTGATATTTGGAACCGCTATTTTATTAATGCTATGGTTACCTGTAAAACTTTTAAGATGGGCATGGCCGGGATTTTTACCATACACCGTGACTATTCAAAGCGAAGCTCAGGTAAGCAGGTAATTAGTTAAATGAGGAAACGAGAGTTTCTTCATTTTTCTTGCTAATGATTATACATATATATTACATTATTCCTTATTTCTATTTTTTTTCTTTTTTAATCAGATTAGCGAATTATCTTTGGAACTGTTATTATTGCAAGTCATTCTTCCTGCATTATTGGAGCAATCTCATACGCGTACATGGTTAAAAGCTCTAATAAGAGGCTGGTGTCGAGTTGTAGCTTGGATGCTAGATCTCCAATCGTATCTTTTGAGAGAACAAACTGAAGATCCTGGACCGGCAGTAATCGAAGAACCGCAACATCCTGATTTAGGAGCGGCTCATCAAGCATTGTTACAAAGAGGAGGACCGACAGGTTTTCAACCATATATCAGGCCACGCTGGTTTCCTGCTCGTCTAGTTGGTCTTTTGTTTTGTGTTTGCGTTTCTCTTGTTATCGCTAGTTTAATTGCCATGATTCTTCCCGTTTGGCTTGGACGCCGAGTAATGGCATTGTGGATGGTCGGAGCTCCGGCTCCGTCTCCACCTGTATTACCACCTACCTTAAGTGGATCTGGTAAGTTAGCTTTTTAAAGTATAAAATGCTTATTGTTTTTTCTCAATATTATTCAATAACATACGTAGATACATACGTACATACATACACATATACACTTCTGTTTTTTTTTCTTTAATTGATCTCAACTTTTTTTTAATTACATCGTTTTTTTTAATGTTTCAGATAATAACGAAGCTGCAGTTGCTTTATCTGGACGAGTGCATGAATTATATACCATAGCTTGTGGAATGTACGTATGTTGGGCAGCAGCAAGAGGACTAGCCTTAGCATTTTCTTGGTTACCTCGTGGTCGAAGGGCTCTTATAGATAGAATAAAACATTGGGCAATTATAGGTGTAAAAGCATCAGTAGCATTTTTCCTACTTATTGGCCTAATACCACTTTTATTTGGTCTTCTTCTTGAACTAGTCGTTGTAGTACCATTACGTGTACCATTAGAACAAAATGCTATTTTGTTCATCTGGCAAGATTGGGCCCTCGGTGTGTTATATACGAAAATAGCAACCGCTATTATAATGATGGGACCCGATTGGAGAATTCGTCTTGCAATTGAACGGGCATACAACGATGGTATTAGAGAAATAGATTTAAAATTCATCGTTACGGAATTAGCAGCACCGGTGATATGTTGTTTCGGTCTTGCTTTGGCTGTTCCTTATGCCGTAGCTTATGGAATAGTCCCACTTTTGATCACGAATCTACAAACGCAAATTCTTATCGCTAGACATTTATATCCTTTCCTTTTATTAGTACACGTGGTATGTATTGTTATATACTTTCAAATTCGACAGTTTAAAAAGCTTTACGAACATATAAAAAATGACAAATATCTTGTGGGACAAAGACTCGTAAATTACGAACATCAAAATAAATCTCAACCGTAACAACAGTAACAATTATATGCATTATGTTAATATATTTATAGTATAATTTCTTTTCGACGATAACGCGAATTTGATAAAAGATTCTTTAATCTACATTCTCTATCACACTTGATTTTAAACAAATGCTAATTTACATTAATAATTTACATTAATACTTTAATTTTTAGTATTATAATTTAGTATAGGCGATACAAAATAAATTAAAAAGACTGTTACACAATGTATCGCTTTTTCAGTTTATTACAAATATATATATATATATACATTATAGATTGTCGATATTTTTGATCTGAACTAAAAAAATTCTATTGTTTAAAAGAAACAATGATAAAAACAATATTTTGCTAACTAATGTATATTATTTTTCAAAACTCAAGATTCATAATTATTCTTTTATTATTGATCAAATAAACTATTATTTAAAACATAAATTGAAATTTTCAAGTTTAAAAAAATCGTGTACAAAGTTTTATCACTATTTAATGAATTCTAAAAAAAAAATAAATTTCGAAGTACTACGTACTGTTATGAAAGTAAAGCTACATTTTAACTTAAAACTCGTTAGTAACAAAATAACGTAATCATATTTTATTATAAAAAATTAATATTTAAAACAATTGATTTGAATAAAATTAAGAAATATTTATAATTTAATGAAAATAAAGAAAGTCATATTTCTTAAGAAACTTGTCATTACGTTTTCTTTATTTCAACTAATTTGTATTATTTGTAATTTAATTTAAAAAATGAAAAAATTATTGCTATATATATATAATTTCATAAAAAGTAATAGAAATTTTACAGATCCACGCTCAGGAATCTTTTTTAAATAAAAATCTTGATTAATTCTCCAATTATATCTTTTTCATATACAGTTAGAAATATATTTTTTGCATGATACACATAATTTTATGTACAGTATGAAATTAAATATAAGTACGGGCTATTTATTTATATACGTACTAATTGTTCTACAGTTAATATAACTGTATGATCACAAATATGTAAAGATGTTGCCGCGATGTACATTAAAATGTAATTGAAATAAATAATGTTCTTGTGAAATTTTCGATTTATTCTTTCTGTCAATTTCTTCAAAATACACTTGATAAAGTTATATCTCTCTTAAAACCATTTCAAGTTTTTAATATAATGTATGTATGTATAAATATATGTATGGTATGATGTGCGCGCGTACACGCGGTATATATATATTATATATATATATATATATATATATACATACATACATATATATATACACAGCCAAAATATGTACAATATGATTTATATAAAAAGGTATACAGCGATAAAAATATTTGTACAATATTCGATTTCAAATATAATTTACAGCGAACATACGTCAATACTGTTACAATTCTATTTCTTGATTTGGTGGTAAAAGATTACCAATTAATTGAAAAGATTCAGGATGTTTTTCGATTCTCAAATATAATAAACTAAAAACATTTATTACCTGAAAAATATCGAAAAATATCATGTTTTTCATATATTTTTCATATATTTTCTATAAATTTGATTTTATCTAGGTAAAAGAATTTACACAATATGAATGTATAGTTTTACATTATACCTGAGTAACAGCAGGTTTTTTCCAAAAAATGCTTATTGTAGGAACAGAATATTCCGAAGAATATTCAATAACTGCCAATTTTTCTAACTGTGTGATGGAAACTCTTAATTTTATACCAAGTTGACACAATATAACGTTTATAAAATTTTCATTTACATTCAATACGATACCCATTGTAACAATAGGACCTTTTAAATCTATCAAATATGTAAAATATAATTCACTACTTCGTTCTTGAGCCATTTTCGCGCTATACTTTTTTATATTACAATTTGTTGCAATTCTATCTTGACAAAAAAGACATGCAAATATTAAAGATATATTTGTATTTGCATTAATAAATTATTTTATTATTTTCTTAAGTAACTTACGATTTACACAATTTTTTAGACCATTCTTTGGGCATCTCTATATTCTTCATAGTTGAATAAAGTAAACGATGCACTACACAATCAGAATATCTTCTAATTGGAGAAGTAAAATGGGTATAAAGTGGTACATTTAAAGCATAATGTCTCAATTCCTCTTCTGCTGTGACAATTGATGAACATATATATGTTGCTCGCTAAAAATGTATAGAATTATTGAAATTTTTATAAATAGAGTAACAAAATCTTCATACAATAATAAAATCGAATAAAAAATCATACAGTCATAGCTTTGGAACAAAGACTATTGATAACCATCATCCTGTATTTCATTGTTATTTTTGTTTCATTGTTTTCATTCTCTAATCCTTGTTCATAACGTCTAATACTAGCATGTAATGATGCAGACGATTTAATATCTAAATGAATACCAAATCTTTGCAAAGTGTCTTTTGTTACAGTAAGAATATGTTTTGAAGGCTCCCTATGGTTACGTAATAAAGCAGTCTCCGGAATCATAGTATATAATTGTGTAGCAACTGTCATATTAGCTAGTAACATAAATTCTTCTATAAGTCTAAAACATAATATATATGTTATATGTTTTTATACGTAAATTTATAATTTAATTAATGTAAAATATAATATATTATATATTATAATCGTAAAAATATTAATATTAAAAATAACAATACCTGTTACTATCTTTCTGTTCTTCTATATTATATGATATTGGTAAACCCGTAATTCTATCAATCTTAACATATAATTTTGGTTGATCTATTTGTAGTGCGCCATTTTGAAATCTTTTTTTACGCATTTGAATAGCCAGATTGTGTAAAATATTTACTTTTATTGATAAATCATTAAAATTAAAATTTCCACTTATATTTAAAAAGTCATCTGGCCAATTATTTTTTGGATTTTCAATAAATTTCTGGGCATGATAATAGGACATTTGACAGCATGATCTTATTACAGTTTTAGCAAAACGATATTTGACAATTTCTGCATTTCGTGTTATTTCCCAAATAACAGAAAAAGCCAATTTATCTTGACCAGGTGATAAAGAACATATTTGACATAATTGTTTTGGTAACATGTGATATACATTATCTGTCATATATATGGTTGTTGCTCGTTTTGAAACCTGAATATCTAATGGAGATAAAAATTCCATATAATGAGTAACATCGGATATATGCACACCAATCTATAAAAAAGAAATAATACATATATGTATAAATAAATAAATAAATATATAAATAGTACACACACACGGACATGCATTCACGAACATATACACACACATAGATAAAAAAAATAGATAATAAGTAATAGTTGATAAGTAAAAATAAATTGTATAATTTCTTCATAATTGCATAATTGCTCTAATTGCATAATTACTTCATAATTTTCATTTTCCAAAATTTTGCAAGAAACTGAATCATCTAAGTCAACAGCAGCATCAGGATCAATAGTAAATATGCATTCTTGTCTCCAATCTTCCCTATCTTTTAAGTCATTTTCTGTTAAAATATAATCACTATTTGGAAGTCCTTTTATTATATCAGGACTATAAGGTGTAACATCTAAATCATATTCAAGTAATATTGCATTTGATTCTGTTCTTATATCACCAATATTTCCAACTATTTTCTCAATTTTCCTGTAAAGAATATAATATATCAATAATAATTAAAAACTTATAATTAAATAGGAATTCTTTAAATTCCTAAATATATATCATACCCAACTGCAAATTTTGGTTTTATCCAATCAGTTATAACAACCAAATACAATGTGTCTTCATAACTGCTTGGACATACAGCAAATTGTTGCAATGATTCCCTACTTATTTTAACTAATGGCACACGATGATCTCTGGGATAAAAAAATGTAAATGCACCACGTTGTTTAAAACATCCAACTGTTTTTCTTGGATGTATTTTTTCTCGTATACAAACAACAACACCTGTTTTCTGCTTCTGCCCTTGATGGACTTGCCATTTTTCTGGTTGATTTATACATGCTACAACAAAATCACCATCAAAGGCTCGATTTCTATCTCTCAAACCAACAATCAATAGATCATACTGATCATCGGATAAAGATAAATAAGCATATTTATGACACCAGGGATTAATGCGTAAATATCCTTCTACATATTGTGCATCATTGGTATTTTGATTTTTTAAAAGTTTATCAATTTCCTTTTCGGAAATATGTCGTGGAAATGTTTCTTTTTGTTTTGAGGACTTAGATTTTTGACCCTTGATTTCTTTTTCTTTTCTTTCTTCGGAATCTAAATGCACTGATTGCTTATCAGTTTTTCTTACAGAAGATTGTGATATCCCTTTATTTTTATTTTTACTTATCTTATGAGCAAATTTTTCAGCAAATGTGAACTGATTTTGTGTAACAAAATTTGAGGAAATTGATTCGTTTGACATAATTTTAATTTTGAACTTATTACTCACTTAAATACACACGAAAATTAATCGTGATTTTAACAAACAAAATTTATCATGCATAATTGATATTTTTTAACACTATGAGTGTCAAAAATTATATATTTGAATGTGTATTACAAAGGCATACATATGTGACGATAAAGCACTTACGTACGAAAAGAACTAACAAATTTTGGTTATATTTTAAGAATGTTAACAGGTCGTATACTTCCAACAATAAGATTCCAACGACGAGAAAACAGCATTATTTAATACACATCTAATCTTTGTCAAACAACGTACCATAAACTTAATAAAAATATAAATCCCGACTTGGAATCGAAACAATAGCGTCACTTTTTACTCGATGTTGATTATTTGTAAGATTAAATAAGATTTCAAAGTGATACATGTTTCAGCATAAAACATTTATACTTTGTTTGTTAAATATTTTATTCTCAAATCCTTCTTGTTTTTATTTATTTTAATTGATAAAAAAATATATTTAATTATTATTTTTCCATGTTATTACATTCTTCAATTAAAGCATGTTGTTTACGAGATTCGTATTACCAATTGTACAATGAACAACCATATAGGTTAAAATGTTTCAACGTTTCATTGGTTACTTAAAGTTGACACTAAACAACAGAATCACATAGATAGCTTTTATTTTAAATGTTGGCAGAATTTAATTTACGTTTAAGCTAAATCATATAGAATATAGAATCTGGAGTTGGAAGGTATTGAAAGTTCAAAGTATTGGATCAGTTGGCATTGGTACATAGGGTGGTGAGTTAATAGGTAGGGCGAATTTAACTTGTATCGTGGACGCGGTGAAAAAGTGAAATAGGAAAGAAGTGTGATACTGAGGCAATCGGATGAGAATTCTGTTAGTTTCAAATCAATATTAAAAAGAATAGATAAAAAAAAAGAATAAGAAAAGTTGAAGTTATAACGTGTAAAAAATTTTTAAACTAATTGTATTATTAAATTTGGTGCAATTACAACAGTGACAAGGTTACGTTAAAAATGTTTCATGTAAAGCAACTAACGAGATCGTCAATTGCCTTAAAGCAAGTACCAAGCAATGACACTATTCATAATACATTGATACGTATTGTACCAGCATTTCAAGCACGCGGTTATGCTGATCATCAAATACCCGATCATTTAAAGGATATTCCTAATGATCCGAATCCAAAATTTTTCGATATGGTTGAATACTTTTTTCACCGAGCTTGTCAGATTGTGGAAGATAAATTGGTCGAGGATATTGGCAAACGTTCCAGGATGACCGTTGAAGAGAGAAAAAAAAAGGTGAAGGGTATTTTAATGTTAATGGAACGATGTGACCACATCCTCGAAACTTCCTTTCCTCTGAGACGCGATTCAGGCGATTATGAAATGATCACTGGCTATCGCGCGCAGCATTCAACTCATAGAACACCTTGTAAAGGAGGTAAATCGAAATATACTTATTAAATCATTTCCTATTTTTATGATAACATTCATAATTAATGATTAATTTCTGGTAATATCTTATAATTATAATTTTAACTATATCATAATCATAATTTGTCGCGTTTTCAGTTATTTTATTTAATTAATTTAGTTAATTTTTGAGCAAATATACTTATTACATTATTTATATTTCTATATATTAAGAGAAAGGGCGAAAGAGAAAAAAAAGCTCGAACATTTTGTATAATATATAATTCTTTTTTATGATCATTTAAATTTAATGTTAGCGGGCACATTAATTACGTCATCGATAATAGATATAACAAATTCGAGAAATCTTGGATTACAAATTTATTAAAATTTTTATTGAATCTTTATTATACTTGATGAAACATAATTTAAAGAAAAAAATAATATATAATAAATAAAATTAGTTTAAAAAAAATATAAATTATAAATAAATTTTATAATGCTATTTGTGTTTTGCTTTAGTTGGCTACTTACTTTTAAGTATTCAATGTATATTATTAGCTATTTGGAATAGGAAAATTTTACGGCTTCATAAGTTACAATAATGTGGATTTAACCTCGATTCTAGTAGACAGATTATCGAAAGCATGATTAGTATTACTAATATTGATATAGTATTAGGTCATTTTAAAAATGTCTTGTCTCATTTTTATTTAACAAATAATTTATTTTTTATTATATATATTATATATAATAAAATATATATATATTATATGTTTTTTATTATATATATTATATATATTATATATATTATATATATATATATATATATATACAGTTTCATCAGAAAAACTGTAACTTTATGACGCACAAACAGACAACGAGGAATGATAGCGTGCCAACTTTTCTCTTCGTTCTCATAGCTTTTGCATTTTTTACTCACGAGGATTATGTTACATTGACGATTAAACGCGTTGGTGCGTCGATTTACTGTAATGCGATGCCTAGGATGACAGAATTGTGCTAGTATGTATATGTATATCGTAGTACGTATATGTATATCAAATATATGGAATTAATTAAATTTCTTAAAAAACTTCTTACAAGAAAAATAAATCATGAAAAGTATTCGATTGTATATACATTTCGTTAAGAAAGATATTCGGAGCATGCATATCAAAACAACATCTCCTTGATATAAATTTGTACTTGAGCTCATGCGCGAAACGTAACAGCATCTTGTGAGATAGATCTTTTCTGAGAGCCAAGTAAGCGAACTTAATAATTCTCTGTTGACTATGATTATTCTTTTTCTATGTATACTATTCGTCTGTATTGGCATTTTCTTTTTAAAACTTATTCAATCTAAACGTTTTCTAATATATGACTTAGTTAGAATTAAAGTCATAATTACTTATATTTTATTTCTTTTATTTACACGATAATCATAAAAAAATTCAATAATATAAATTAAAAGATACATGTATACTGAACAACATTAAATGCTATCGCATAATGCAGATGTAATGCAATGTGATGCCAAGCTGTCTAGTCTTTTTCTTTGTTCTTGCCAAATATTAGCTAACTATCTTGATTCACAATTTAATTTAAAACTTTGGCAATTATAATCATCATTCTAATGTCATGATGATATTCAAAAGTCAATGCTCTCATCGAAACAAATCGATATAGTTTTCTTATTCATGTGATCGTATATTCATTCAAAATGTTGAATAAGAAATTTATTTTAATTATTCTTTTCAATAATTATATTTTTTTAATATGTTATTCGTAGCTTAAAATATTAGCTTAAGCTTTAATTATAAATATATAATAGTTCCAAATTGTTTAAGAAAATAATTAATGATTTCTTTTATAAATAAATATATGAAAATATTATTTTTATTATTATATATAATTACTTTCGATTTACTTACATACATGTTAATATATGTATATATGTATATAAATACTATGTATATGTATATGTATATAAATATATAGTATTATATACATAGTATATGTATATAAACACAATTATGTTATGTATATGTTATTTTTGTTTTTTATTTTTTTTTCTCTTTCTTTTTATTTTAATAATTAATAATCATAATGATTTATCTTTCGAAAAATCTCAAAATTTGTAACATTTATAATTTATAATATATATTATACACGTTATTTATAATATATATATATTATATAATATATATAATATATATACATAATATTATACATACGCGCTTATTATATACAGTTCATTTATTGCTTCTACTTGTTACAGGTATTCGTTTTTCGATGGATGTCTCGCGAGACGAAGTAAAGGCTTTATCGGCATTAATGACTTTCAAATGTGCCTGTGTAGACGTTCCTTTTGGTGGAGCTAAAGCTGGTATTAAGATTAATCCTAAATTGTATTCAGAACATGAGCTCGAAAAAATCACTAGAAGGTTCACATTAGAGCTTGCAAAAAAAGGATTTATCGGTAAGATATTTTAAAATATCGAAAAATTATTGTTTAAATTTATATCGAAGATAATGAACCGATTGAAGAAATACGCATGAATATCATATTCTTTTGTTTTGATTAAATTTATTCAACTTATTGCAACAAAATTTTATTTAATGTCATCGCAACGATCATATTGTACAAATACATTTACATATTTCACATTTATACGAAATCTTTTTATCTTTCATTTTCAGTTAATATTGCAATCGTTTTGATATATATATATATATATATATACATGTATGAATATATATGTATGTATGTATTATAAGTATCTTATTTAATCATACGTAGAATTATTTAGCTAAAAAAAAGAAATTCTACAAATTTGAAAATTCAAAAAAATAGATAATCGTTAAATAATTGTTATATGATATAAATATTAATTAATACTACACGGTACGATGCATTTATGAATATTTATAATTCCAAAAATAATTGATTATTTTTGGATTAGAGTAGGAAAAGAAAATTAGTATTTTATTGGTAATTCTGATAATTTTATATTGGTAATTCTGGGAAAAAAACTTACAAGTATAAAAAAAACTTACAAGTATTTTCCTTTGAATTGAAAGGACCTGGTGTCGATGTTCCTGCCCCTGATATGGGAACTGGAGAACGCGAAATGTCTTGGATCGCGGACACATATGCCAAAACTATAGGACATTTGGATATTAATGCTCATGCTTGTGTAACTGGAAAACCTATTAATCAAGGTGGAATTCATGGACGTATTTCTGCGACAGGACGCGGTGTGTTTCATGGATTAGAAAATTTTATCAACGAAGCTAATTATATGAGCATGATTGGTACGGAAATATTTTATAATACATTCTATTTCTATTTTTATTTCTTAATGTCGTATGTCCTTAACATTGTATGATTTAAATGTATTTATCAGCTATTATATGATAACTCATTATCGTTCTTTCTAAATCATTGTCACGTTATGTGGTCTATATCATCAAATATATATACTATATCTGTCAATTATCATAAGATAACTCGTTATCAATTATTTTAAATTATCGACTTTTTATAATTTTTTTTTTATTATATTTTTTTATTATAACTTTTTATTATATATATAACATTAATTACATAACATTAGGTACAACACCCGGTTGGGGAGGGAAAACATTCATTGTACAAGGTTTTGGTAATGTTGGTCTACATTCGATGCGTTATTTACATCGTGCTGGGGCTGCTTGTATAGGAGTAATCGAACATGATGGTGCTATTTACAATGCCGAAGGTATTGACCCTAAGGTAAGAAATTACATAAAATTTAATGCAGATAAAACGATTTTACGATGATATAATAACTTTAACAAGATCATTTCACATTAATAAGATTACTTAACGTAAAATTTATACTATAGAAACTAGAAGATTACCGTATAGAGAATGGTACTATCGTGGGTTTTCCTGGTGCTAAACCTTACGAAGGTGAAAATCTCATGTATGAACCTTGCGATATATTCATACCTGCAGCTATTGAAAAAGTTATCAATAAAGATAATGCTTCTCTTATTCAAGTAAATGAATTTTTCATTTAAACAAATATGTATAAAAAAAATTACTTTGTTTTTTTTAAATGATTACTATTTTTCATTTAGGCAAAAATTATAGCCGAAGCTGCCAACGGACCAACTACTCCAGCTGCCGATAAAATTTTAATCGACCGAAATATTTTAGTCATACCAGATTTATATATAAATGCCGGTGGTGTTACAGTCTCTTTTTTCGAGTGGTTAAAAAATTTGAATCATGTGTCGTATGGTCGTCTAACTTTTAAATACGAAAAAGAATCAAATTATCATTTATTAGGTATATATATAGTTCATGTATACAATTGATATCCATTTGAATAATACTTTATTGTATATTTTACAATCTTTTTACAATATAAATTTATAGAATCTGTACAAGAATCATTGGAACGTAGATTTGGCCGTGTGGGTGGTCGAATTCCTGTTACACCTTCCGAAGCATTTCAAAAACGCATTTCTGGTGCTTCTGAAAAGGATATAGTTCATTCTGGTTTGGATTACACGATGGAAAGATCTGCGAGGGTAATTGATTATTTTTTCTCGATTGAAAAATAAAAAATGATTAATTATTGTCATTCAAGTGTTAATAGTTTTATTTTTATTCTATAACAGGCAATTATGAAAACAGCTATAAAATTTAATCTTGGTTTGGATTTAAGGACAGCAGCTTATATTAATTCAATCGAAAAAATATTTACTACTTATTCCGAAGCTGGTCTTGCGTTTTAAATAAGTAAAGTATTTATCGACACAAAGCAAATCGCATAAATGGAACTTAAAAAGTTTCGAGCTAGTATTTTAAAGACATTTTTAATAATCATTTTCAACTGATACTATCCAGTGTCTCTCAGTGATAAAGACCAAAACTATTATAACAGTGAAAATATTTCGCGTACGTTATCGCACGCTAAATCTTCTTCGAACACATAATAATAATAATAATAATAATAATAGTAGTAATAATAATAATAATAATAATAATAATAATAATAATAATAATAATAATAATAATAATAATAATAATAATAATAATAGTAATAATAGTAATAATAATAATAAATTTGCCTAACAAGTGTTCCATCGTACGGATAATATATTTAATGCTTATGTCGACCGCGTTATTCGCGTCGCTATAATTGTTATACAGTACAAGTTGCATGAAAAAGTGTAAGAATCGAATACTAATGAATTCGATATACGAAATAACGAATTCAATATGATGAATTCGAAACAAAGTATTGTAAAAGAGCATATTTTCCTTTGTAAATTAATTCAACGAAACCAAGCAAACAATATAATAATAATATAATATCACATTTTTATACATCACTTTTAACCAATATATCTGAATATTATTTAAAATGATTGCACGACAAATGCTAAATGAGTGATAAAAATTTGTAAATTTTAATTCAATTGAATATATATTATTTTTAAATTATCGCAAGGAATGGTTTATCGAAATCTTATTTCTATAATCAAACCGAAAAACTGCGATATCTCGTATAATATTGTTACAATACGAAGTATGTTAATAAATATATGATCTTAATTAATATTTTTTCTGTTGTGATATTTTGAAGCCTTCTTTATTTTATTTGACATTATATATGTCCGCTACATGTTTTTGCACATGTATAATTCAATCATTGTATTAATATGAATTTTAACTTAATTTTTTTATTATGTTATTGATTTGAAAAAACTTAATTTTGAAAAGATCGATTAATTATATGTAAATTTATTTTTTATAATATAGTATATATTATTTTTATAAAAATAAAAAAAATAAAAAAAACGTTGTTCAGAACTGATCACAATTTCCCATCTACAAAATTGCAATTACTTTTATTTTTTCTATTATATTATATATATACATTATATCTGTTATTACATTATATCTTTATTACTTTGCAATTTTTAAAATTCTTATATGTCATCAATTTGATATAGATTATGATATGATTAGATTTATTTTATTTCATATCATTGAATATATATATATATATATATATTGATTGAATAATCAATTTATTTTATATTGATTATTCAAAGAAAATGCAGAAATTTATTATACTTTAAATGTATTTTTTAATCTTTACTCTGAACTTTCATATAGCTTTGTTTCGATAATGAAATAAGAAAAAAATAAAAAAAAAACGTGAATTGCAATTTAATAAATCGATTGGCTAATTATACATTTTCTGTACTATTAGTAAGGGCGGCGGCCGCCCCCAACATATATATATATATATAAAGAGTTAGACACCGCGACATTTCCTTCATTACTCTTGTCAATTCTTTCAACGACACGCAACAATTGAAACAAGGTATAATAATTCATTCATTTTCAATATTTTTCATGTTTATACATAAAAATAATTTATAAAAAAAATTTCAATTCACTTTATTTATATTCATTTATTTTAACTGCTAATAAGAACAATGATCATATTTTAATGCATTATTAATTCTATATTTAAATGAATGCACGTTGAGAAAATCTCGATAAACGTAATTAATATAATTAATAAATACATTAATTATGAAAATGAAATTAAGGAATAAAGTAAAATCTTCGATGATAGATTTGAATTGAATATTATATACTTAAACAAAGCTATTTATTAATTATATTGACAAGAAATCACTAATTTCATTGTAAAAACTATTACACATTCTTAATGTAACATGTCTTAATGTCTTTTATTATTTGCAAAATAATAAATAATTTATAAATAAATTATAAATGTATTACATTATATTAAATGGAATTAAACATTTAGTTTTTACATTTCGGTTTTAAAATTTATATCAAAAGCAATTTATATTTCTCGCTTTTACATGTTATACAGTTTTTCACTTAGGTGGCGAGATTTGAATTCCGCGTGAATCCCATGTCTATACCTATGGCAACTATAAGCAATGGAAACGGATCAACGATACAAATTAACACGCGTCCAGATGACATACAGAATCGTATCGTTGATGGTGAGTTACAGTAATTCAAATTTCTAAAATTCAAATCTATTATTCTACTTCTGTTGAAAGAAAAAAAAATAATAAATCCTTTTCAATTCTTTTAAAACTTAAATAGTTTATATTCACGTTTGTCAAATTATATTATCAAATTCAGTAAAATCGAAACTCATATGTACTGAGTTGGATTATATGACATAAAATATTACTCGAGTATAAAGAAGGTCAAATTTTTCTTTACACTCTATAATAAAGTAATATAACCATATTATCAAAGACAAGGTCATCGATTATTTCGATACACGTGGATTCTGCACGGATATATGCATATCTTTATTTATCTACATATTCATATATAATATTCTAGACTAATTTTATCCTTAATTCTTTAAAAATATTGACATCAAAACAATTAATTTAATAATAAACAATTCGTTTAATAATATAAAGTATAATATATAATATGAAAACAATTCAACTCGTTATCGATATTACATCATACATGTTGAATTATTCACAAAATAAATTACTATCAAGTAGAAACCATTTGTCGTTATTAATCGTCGTAATATTCGTCGTATAGAAAAATAGAAAAGATCGCACGTTTTTTTTTTCTTTTTTCTTTTCCAATTTTTCCAATAAACTATTGTTCATTTTTTGTATTAATTTTATATATCATTCGGTTTCAATTAAAACGAATTGTTTCGTTAAATGAAAATAGATATCTCAAAAACGAATGCGATTTGCACATGTAATGAACAATAAATGATATACAACATATGATAAATAACGGACTAAAAAATTCCGAACTAAAAAAGAGATCAACATTATAGTACAATTAAAATCATATTTTGATATTAAAAAACTAATATTAATAGAAAAAGAAGCAGAAGGGAAAAAAACTGTAAATAAAAAAAGTAGGGATGTACGCATTTCGCGCATGTCGGAATGACTGAAAGGAGAGTAGTCAACGAGAGGAAAGAAATAACAGTGATCATTTAAACGAAAGTGGGAATTAGATAGTGAAAAAAAAAAAAAACGAGAGAAAAAAATAGAGGAGAAAACTTTCCTCTACTTTGAATGAGTGATTAAACAAATAAATAAACAATTATTAATTAATTAATTAAATCGTGTAAAACGAATAATACGTTGAAGCTGAGCTTTGTCCTATCACATTTTGCATCTTTCAGTAAAATAACCAATCCTTCTTATCTATCCTATTCAATGTTCGAAGATATCGGTGAATGAGAAAGATTCGTGTAATTTTTTATATACGTTCAATTTAATCAAATCAAGTTTAATAATTGTTTCGAGATGACAGATGGTAAGCGGTATTGCAGATTAATTTTTTTGTATTAATCTTTTTATTCAAAATTTTTTGTACAATTTTTGTACAAAGCTTGAAAAACGTTGCCAACACATTTTCATCGCTTATATTAAGCTATATATTTTTATATAATGATGACATATTTCGTACGACTAATCGTTTTCATTTTGTGATTTATTATAATTAATGGCAAATGATATTTTAAATGTCAAAATATATATTGTCCAAATGTTTTTTACAAATGTTAATTTTACAAGTTTTTAATAAATTAGGTTTATATCTCAACTTTCATTTCATTTTATTTTTTTGTTACATGCTATTATAAAATTTTTACATATCTACTTTTATTTCAATCATCTTTCACCTATAATTTTCTAAATGTAGGTTGTACACACCCGTATCGACCTGCGTGTAAATAGACCGAAAGTATTGCATGCAGTAAAATCGATGATAACACTGAATATTTCTGTAAATATGATTATATCACTATCTATATTTTTTTTGTTTCTGTTTAATAATGATAAATATATACTCGAATTCAGTGATCATTGATCATTTTACATTTTCAATTCAATATTTATTTCGTTAAATCAACTGTATACTGAACTTAATTATATACATTATTTCGTAGAATTCGTATATGTGTAATGATAGAATATCAAAATCTTGTATGCTTAAACCGATTAAAATGATAAAAAAGAAGATAAATCCGAATTTTCGATATATTTAATATAAATATAGATTATTTTTTATTGATTATTTTTTAATTGTTTCAGTTGACGAAAACGTTCAAACGAACAATGATACCTGTAAAAATATTCTTGTGATACTATCTTGGATTATCGTGATTCTTACGATGCCGTTTTCATTATTCATTTGTTTCAAGGTAAAATATCGCGAAAATAAAATTTTTATGTTGTTGTTATGGTGTTGATTTTAACATTTACATTTGACGAATATTCGAAAAAATATTGACAAAAAAACAATCAAAAAATTTTAATGAAAGTAACTCAACAAGGAAAAAAGAATTCTGTTCTTTTTAAAAACTTTTTAGGTAGTACAGGAATACGAGAGAGCTGTGATATTTCGTTTAGGGCGACTTCTTTCTGGTGGTGCTAAAGGACCCGGTAAGAATATTTATAAATCATGATTATCACGTATATCTATAAATACATATATAATATTGTTAATATATTTGTTAATATCATTAACAATAAAATAATATATATTTGTTAATATCAAACGAATACCGTATATTTCTAGGTATCTTTTTCATCTTGCCTTGCGTGGATAATTATGCTCGAGTCGATTTACGCACGCGAACATACGACGTACCACCTCAAGAGGTAAAGTCACCATATTTACAGTTAGCTAATTAAATTAATGATTAACAAAAAGAAAAAAATTGATAAAAGAATTCGATTAAAATCATCAGGTTTTGACAAAGGATAGTGTAACAGTATCGGTTGACGCTGTAGTGTACTATCGCGTGAACAACGCAACGATTTCGATCACGAATGTTGAGAACGCTCATCACAGTACAAAACTGTTGGCTCAAACCACTCTTCGTAATACAATGGGGACCAGGCCGCTTCATGAAATTCTTAGTGAACGCGAAACAATTTCCGGAAATATGCAGGTAAATTGATATCAATTTAAAATCAAACAAAATACAGATTCAATGTTTTATTTGAAATCGTCAGGTCTCTTTAGATGAAGCTACCGATACATGGGGTATAAAAGTGGAACGAGTCGAAATGTAAGTGTACATTTTGTACGTGGTAGAATTGCATCGTAAGTTGCATTTATATTTACTTACATCTATAAATACATATATATATATATATATATATGTATAATAAATTATAATATATATATGTATAATAAATTTTTTCTACAGAAAAGATGTACGATTGCCTGTCCAATTACAAAGAGCTATGGCTGCGGAAGCTGAAGCTGCTCGTGAGGCTCGCGCCAAGGTTCGTTTATATTTTTCTTTAAAAATAAACTTTTTTCAAATTAAATTTTTTTTCTCTTCTTTTCTATAGTAAAATGTTAATAATAAGATTCGTGTTTATATAAATACACATAGGTTATCGCAGCGGAAGGTGAACAAAAAGCTAGTCGGGCATTAAGAGAAGCCTCGGAGGTAATCGGCGATTCACCTGCCGCATTACAACTTCGTTATTTGCAAGTATGTACTGACCCACCTTTTTATCGATTCAATTTTATTTGTCAATAATCTATTTCTATTTTGCGTAATCGATTATTTTTATTAATTTTTCTTTTTTTTTTCTAGACTCTGAACACAATTTCTGCAGAAAAAAACTCAACGATTGTATTCCCATTACCTATTGATTTATTAACGTATTTCATGAGAGCCGGATTTACAAAGGATTCTTAATATCTCAATTTTAATATAACGAATAAAATCAAACGGTTATCATTCAAACAAAGTCATCCAAAATCTTCTACGTATAAAGAATATACGTACAATATATAATTAACATAATCGGCTCAATAACATAAGAGGATCGCATAAATATAATAATATATTTACTTTTACCACAAATATTCGATTAAAATAAGATTAACTTCAAAAGTGATAACACCTAATACTAAGTATATAATATATATATACATATATATGTGTAAGTATAGACTCAATCCTTTTTTTATCGATAATAGCAAAATGGTTTATATCTTATCATTATATCATCATATACAAAATAATTTATTGATAAATTTTGTAACATAGAATATATATACTTACATATTATATATATATATATATATGTATATGTAAATTAATATATATTGAAACTTTTATTGATTTACAATTATAATTTTTTAACTTGTTTGTTCTATAATAAAATGTAATACAATTTGCAATACAATTCATAACAAATATAATAATATTAGACATATCGATTTATTGATAATTTGCAATCGAAATAATAAGAATTCTATTGTAACAATTGATTATATTGATATTTTTGCAATCCAATCGAATCAGAATAATAAAAAATGAACTTAATAATAAGAAAAATAAACTTTTCTATGTATTAAAAATTTGGATTTATAATTATCAGATATTGGATAAATATATTTACTGATTGAATATATCTATTAATCTTGATAGATATATGTAATAGATATCTATGATCGATACATAGATTCCAAATATATCGAAAAATACATATGTATATAAATATTTATTACAGACAAATTGATATAATCTTAGATTGAAAAAAATTTATTCTATATGTTTATTTCATATTGATATTAGATAATATTTTATACAAAGAATTTTAAAAAAAATAAAAATATACTCGAAATATAATTATTATTTCATTGAACGAAAGTACAAAAAAATATTTATAAAAAGATATTTATTTCATATTCGATATAATGTACACAATTTTAATTTAGTATATAGTAAATGATATACACATATAAATAATATGCTCAATTATATATGTATAATACTTATGTATTTCTTACTGATGCAAAGGACTGTTCACTATTGAAGTAATTGATTAATATAATTATATATACTTACACATATATATATATATAAGTACGTAAATAATGTATGAATGTTATTTGTATATTTTTTCCGGCCTGTAATGATATCTGGTCTAGCATAAGCGATTCTTCCCGATAAATAATACTTATGTGAAAATAACATTCCATTACTATTTATCGTTTAGAAAACAAAAAAAAATAATGATAAAAAAAAATTACGCAATTAATCGGAATATGTAATACTTAACAAATGGTAAAGTATATAAAATATAAACTTCCATTTATATTCATCGTTGAAAAAAATCGGATAAAAATAATAATCAATCAAAATTTTGTTGTCAAAAAAAAAGTTTGTTTTACTTACTTATGCATATCGTTATTTCTATTTGATAGTAATTTGATATATATGATTAATTGAGATTTAGAATTTACTAAGATTTTGATCATATTTGAGATTCAAGATTTTAATCTACCTCTTTTTTACGTACAAATTTCTATCTCTGATTGTTATACTATATTACTTTAATGCTAATAACTTGATGTATTTAATATATTTTTATCATATTCGTAAGATGATTCGTTCGAATACTATGCTCGAAAACAATTTAAAAATATATTTGAAAAATGACAATTATATTTTTTGTATTGATGTTAATATTTTTTATTTTTGAATAATTTGTTTCACTTCATTAATATGTAAAAAATATTAAATGGCAAATCATAGATAAAACAAAAAATGTTAATTTCAATAATTTTATACACATCAAATTGTTAACACCAATAAAGAATTTATTATTTTATTTTAAAATTAATGTATGCAAATAAAAATTCAGAAATTTTGCATTTCATTACGATAATTATTTGTCTCTTACCATTTTTATGTTGCATTTGTGATAAGAAATCAATCATCTTAATTTTGTCGTACAAGGTTGTTGTATATAATTCAAACAAAATCCTTTGTTTCCCACGTCATTTGGCGCTTCAACGCTATCCGTATGAAAAATTAATCTAAAGGGTTTCACAGTACCTAATAAAAAAAAGAATATTTGTGTTCACGCGAAAAAGTATTATTTTTATTAATTTTATTAATTAATTCATTTTGAAGATTTGAAAAACAAAAAACAAAGAAAAATATCAGATAAAAAAATAAAAATAAATATATATTTACTAATGATAGAAGAAGCATTTAAATTTTGATTTTCCGCATTGAATGTTCCACCGCATATTCGATCGATACAAGTCATCATATTGGTTGGTAATCTACCAGTATTGAATGCACATGGGATTGTTAACCAATCAGTTTGACAGATTGTTCCTGTCATTGATGCTATTTGTGTTGCTTGCGTATTTCCCGTTAATGTAAATGCATTAGAATGCATTGTTTGCATCATAGGAGTTCCATTGTTAGACATCGTTGCTTCATCGTATAGTGAAATATTAACAAATTTTAAATTAAAAATATAACATATATATGTTTTTCATATATATATATTTTTTAAATTAAAAATATAACATCTTTGAATATATATATATAAAAGACTTTATATTTTTAACATATATATATTCATTTTTCTTTATTTTCTTTATGTATACCTTCTTTATCATCAACTGGACATATCATATATTGAATACCGCAAAAGTTTCTTTCCATACGAATGCAAATACTATAATCTTGATTTGATAATTGCAATCCAGTGATAGGATCGTAATTAAATGATTTTATTTGTCCAGATAGTCCTGTGAAATATTGCAAACATCCTTCCTCGGCTCTGTATATAGTATTGCAACGGATTTGAGATATTTGTATTTTCCAGGATCGAGCGAAAGATTGTCCACTTGTAATAAAAGTTAATGTAACGGGATTCGTTTGTCCAAGACCAGCGTCAATATATACTGTATAAAAATAATTGCACAGATATACAGATATAACAATATAAAGTTTGTAATAATAAAACAATTACATACAATGATTCTCAGCGTTATTTCCACATATAGTAGGTATCGAATTGCCCCCGGAAACGATAAATTGATCGTAAATACATTGGTGATTAGTTATTTCCGGACCTCTTATATTAAAATACATAAAATCCAATCTATAAAAGAAGATTTTCTGTAAATTAAATTTCACTCTATCAAATAAAATATTATATTCGAGATGAAAATAGCTTAGCCCACCTAAATTGACATACGGTTGGGTGCGATTTAACAAGTGTTAATTGACAAGATGTAGTACCGTCGAACGTCGATGGATAATTCGGATTAACAAAATATGTATTATTGTTATTAGTTATGTCACCGCAAGATACGGTCACTAGTCGAATATATAAAAAAGAAAAAAAATGAAATGAAGAAAATATTTAAAAATATTTAAATAATAAATAGAAACTGTAACATACCAATACAACAAATTCCGTAACCATTTGCACAAATTCCACTAGATATACCACTACGTTGTGAACATTCCGTTGCTGCTATGCAGGTACCATTTTCACCATTTAATCCGACACACACATTATTATTAAATTTTATCAAAGTGAATAAAGGAAAAACTAGATAAAATTATTCACAAATAAAATTATTCTATTAAACTTAATATATATATCATTAAGAAAAAATAAATTTTAAGCTTACGTCGTTTTTCTCTATCACCATGATTCGGTATGATATTTTGAACATTCAGTGATTGTAATTTATTTTTTTGAAAATTAAATGATAACGATTCATTTTCATGATTATTGATTGTTCGCCAAAAATGTCGAAATCTCTTAAGAGGATTCCATGAATCAATATTTATACATGTTACAACAGAATATAATAATAATACAATTATATAGTATCTATACATTATTGTACAAATATATATAATATATATACAATTTTATTTTTATTGTACAAAAGAATAATTACAGAAAATATATAAATAATAATTACAGAAAAGAGATGAAAAAATAGTGATAAATTATTCAAAAAAATTCACTGTTCGTTTGATGAAGAATGCTCGTTTGACTAACGAATGCAAAAGGCTTGAAAACTGATATATCTAAGAACATGTTCCACGGTCTAAATATTATGCGATTTAACTAAAAAAAAAAGAAAAAGGAGGTTAAAATTATTTTCTTCCGTTGAACGTTAATCTGTAAATAAATTAAGAGAAAGTCAAAAATGAAACGAACGACAAATCTCTAACATCTGTATTGTATTTATCCCTTGAATCGAAACAAAATCTTTACTTTCACAACTATAATTAAACAAATTTAGATCTTTCTTTTTTTCATGATAAATATTACTTGAAATGTCTATTGTTATTCTAATCTTTAAATATGTTACAATAAGTTTAAAGAAGCATCTTTTCTTATCAATGGTCTAAAATAAATAATAAGCAAAAAAATAAATTTTCTATAATAAGTTTTGAAGTAATTATTATTATGATTGATAACGTTCTTATGATAACATACTATATTATTTATTAAATTTATAATATTTTAGTTTTTGCAGCATATTTCACATCAAATTATTCGAGAGTTTATATTGTTTCTTTTTTTTTTTCTACATTTATTTTTGTTTCTTATATATTCTTCATATTGTGATAAATTTCGGGGCTAAGTATCATCAATATTGAATCGTCTATTAGATTTAGAAAACTTAAAACTTAAAACTTATATTAGGTTTAGCTATGTTAATCTAATTATCTTTTCATTAAAATTAAAATATAATGTATACCTTATTTCATAAATAAAAAAGATATACAATTTCATACGATTTTCCATTAAAATATTTGGAAAATATTTGTATATAAGATCATATATCAATATAAAATTGATCAAAATTAAAGAAATTGTTAAAAATATTTGTTAAAAATTTGTTATTTCTTTTATATCTTTTTTCAAAGAATTTTGTTTTTATCAATCATTGGAATTAATTTATTTGAAAAATATTTTATAGTTTACATGTAATAAAATTGAAAATTTTTAACCATTATTAAATATAAATTTATAAATTATATTTATAAGATAAATTTTTTTTACATTAATTATTATATTATAATATTGATAATTTAATTTTTTGAAATTTTTTTGAAATATTGTCTGAATATTTTTCATATAAAAAGTTAATTAAAAAAATACTAATTATTATTTTATAATTTCGTTAAAAATAAACCTTAACTATATAATAATTAATAATTAATTATATTAAGTTAATAATTTTTTCGTCTTTTAGAAGTAACCATTTGCTTCAGTATATTATGTATAGGATTAGGTTAAACACAATCAATAACATATTCAAAAAATTAATTTCATTTTCATATTATCATTCGTATTCTAATTTTGTTTTGTTTTTTATAACATGAAAATTGTCGTGATAAATTAAGTACAAAATATATTTATTACAATTTTGTAATCAAATCTTTAAGATATACCAAATACAATTTAAACCAAGCGCTCATCATATGTAAAGATGGCACTCAATATCAAAGTATAATATAATCTATGCAAAAAAGCAACAAAAATTCCAAGTTGTGAAAAAATAATAATAGTATAATTATTCACCGTTTGACTTGTTTAACGATACTTGTAATTTTGATTCAGTCGTGAATAATATAGAAACGTCGAGTAAACTCGAACTACTCTGATCGCGAGTAATCGCAGACAAAAAGTCGTGGCGCTGTGTTGAGCGTGCGCTGACGCCATAGTGTATGCGAGAGGCGAGAACAGCCGAAATGGAGGAGAGTCAAACATCGGAAAGTGTCGCCGTGCTACCGGACATGTCCGAACCGTTGACGAGCGAAACCGAGGAGGCGTCTGCCCTAACGACCGAGCACAAGGCGCATCCCGTTACCGTGACGGCGAGCGTCACTCCAGTACCGGGTGTTCCTGGTGTTCCAGGAGTTGGTGTACCGGTTTCTTTGCCTGTTGGTTCTATCATTGGTGTAGCAAATTCATCCAACGGCACGACCTTCAACGTCATCACATCAGACCAACTGCAGGTTGGTTGCTGAAACAACGAAGTTGTTTTATTAAAAAAGCTTTTCTCTAATAAAGTTGTAATACAGATATTTCTGATAGTTTATTAATTTTCTCATTAAAAAATTATTGAAAAACAAGGTGGGGTTTCGTTCTTTATATACACATATAAGCTATAACTACATGTATACACTGTACACAACATTAACATATTAAGTGCACATGAAGTGCGCCTGTCCATATATTGTATAAAAGATATTAAATACGTATTTTCTTATAATTATACTTCATAATTATACTTCTTTTTATAATTTTCTACATTTTATTTTGATAATATTATCATTATACTTTTTGTAGCTGCCTGGTTCAGGACAATTTAAACAGATGCTATGTGTGGATAATGGTTTCATTTGTGAACCACGGCATGACAAAGATACAGATTCCTTACGATGGAATGGAGAATTAAAAGCAACACATATAGTAATTCAAAATAGTACAGAAGAACCTGAATCAGAACAAATTCATGTATCTACTGCTAGTACTCAACCAATATGCAGTTGGTCAGAATCAGCTAATTTAGCAGTATTACCTGTTAGATGTAAAAATACAAATGCAGAATTACATAAAAGTAGATTTGGATCTGGAGGAAGAGGAAGGTGTATCAAACTTGGACAAGACTGGTATACGCCGAGTGAATTTGAAGCACTTTGTGGTAGAGCATCTAGTAAAGATTGGAAACGCAGTATTCGATTTGGTGGTAGAAGTTTGCAAACATTAATTGATGAACAAATTTTAAAACCACATGCTACCTCTTGTACTTGTGCGGCATGTTGCGATGATGACAGTGCAGTTAGTACATTATGTACTGTTTTATAATGAATAATTACAATTCATCCATTAATATTCTATAATTTCATATTTCAGACAGGTCCTGTAAGATTATTCACACCATATAAGCGTAGAAGAAGGGCAAGAGATACATCTGATAGTGAAACACCATCGCGTAAACTTAAAAGTGACAATTCACGCGATGGGAGTAATAATGATGAAAGTGATGGCGAAATCGTAGTACCTGATAAAGAAGTATGGCCTCAGTTCGTTTCAACAGATGGTTTAGTTGTTCAACAACCACAAGATCAAGATACTGTTGTTCAAAATGTACATCAAGCGGAAAATGGACAATGCGACGATGTATTTAAAAAGCTTGACGAAATGTCCAATAAAATGTTAAAGTTAGCTTATGAATTTAGGCGTACCTTGGAAGAGGCTAAAGAAGTAAGTAGACAACAAAGAAGAGAGCAAGCATTAGTGGCACAATTAGGAGGTAGAGGAGATGTTATTGAAACTGTTGGTTTGCAACCAGCATCGGATACTCATAATAAAAAGGTAAAAAGAATTATTTAAAATTTTTTTTTATTTGAATATACTTACCTTTTTTTTTACATAATATTTATTTATTTTTAGTGTGCAAACTGTAATAGAGAAGCATTTGCAGAATGTTCTTTATGCAGGCGAACGCCTTATTGCTCTACATTTTGTCAACGCAAAGATTGGGCAGGTCATCAAGTAGAATGTGTAAGAGGAGCTGCAGAAACTGTAATGCTTATAGTTGAAAGTAGTAGTGGAGATACTAGTGCTCTTGCTACGACTGCTGGGGACCAATAGCTAGTGTTTCTTACACCTATTCACCAAAGGAATATAGAAATTGAACAAACTAACATAGAAAGTTCAAAATTGAAAAAAGAGATGAAGACTTAAAAAAAATTTCTTTAATGACCAACAAGTCAAAAACTTCTGTATATATAGTAGTAAATATTTTGTATGTATACAAATTAAATTGTAATGATATTATAAGTAAATAAGTAAATTTACATGAAAATTGAAATTTTCTAAGATCATGATACAAAAAATTATAAATGAAATATATATATATATATATATATATATATGGAAAATTGTGAACCAAATAATTATAAAAATAGATGATATGCGTGTATAAATACACTTATTATGTATTTTAAGAATACAAAGACTTTAGCATATATAGGCGCGCGTATTTACGTATACACATGTATATGTATGTGTGTATCTATGTGTGCGTGCGTGCGTATGTATGTGTATGTGTGGTGTGTGATGTGTGTTATATATTGCAAAGCCGCGCAGGCAGTCGCCCATATTGGAATTTTTCATATTGCCATAAATAGAGCAAAAATCAGTGAATCTTTGCATGAGTAATAATCTGAAACCAAGTATCATAGTATGATATTTACATATGTTTTTAAGTATTGTTAAAGTTTTATATGCTTACCTATGCAGCTATGTAACATAGGTAATGTACATTGTAACATTTCACTTTGATAGCTATCATTGCCTGCAATTTATCATTCACAAACGATGACAAGCACTCTTGTATGCGACATTCCTACTTGCGCGGCTCTGATGTATTGTATTACACATGTTAAAAAATATACTTTTACTATTATAAATAATTTTTTTATACAAATTTATATAATTGACCAAAGGAGGTAATTATGTTTTTACAAATATCATTTATACCTCACCTTTTCCTTTTTTTTATAGATATCATTTTTTAATCTTTTTCTTATATAATTGTAATACAAATTCAATACTATAAAAATATTACAAAAATTGATATTTATAAATTTTACTTTATGTTTTACCATGCAAAGTCATATTTTGAATTAGTATTTCATTAGAATTGCAATTACAATAAATATGCTAAATTCAATAATATTAAGTACATACTTTTTTTGTTTAAAATAATGAGAAAAATATTGATCTATACAATATACATAATAAGCAAATCATTGGAGTATAACAATAATTTTAATAAATATAACAAATAAGGAATGCAATATCTAATTGAAAATGTATTATTTAACTATTTTTAATATATATATTTTTCAATCAAATAATATTTTTTATTATAGTTTTCTATAAAAATAAATATTTTTTAGTATTATTTAATTTATGAAATATATCAGTGTTAGTGTAACAGTATAACATTGTTGTTTATAATATTAATAGTATCATCATTTTTATTATTATTATATTATTATTGCTATTAATTAATTGTTGCTATAAAAGTCTATTACAGATTTGATAAAATACAAAAATTTGTTTTGTATTTTATATATAAAAGGGACAGAAAAAAAATCTTTTCGTCAATTATTAAATGTATTATCCTTATTTTTATACATTTTAATACATTATTTTGATGTAAATTATAAATATCATTCACTTAGTTTGAACTATCTTCTTGAAAAATTATTAAAATTTTTTAAAATACTAATCTAATAATTTCCATAATGTTTCAATCTATATAAAAAGGCAGTATTTGATTTGTTGGAAATTGCTAAATAACCACTACCTGGTGAAAAATCAATAGCTTGAGGCATTGATATATTTGTTTGAAATGTAGGAAAATTTGAAAAAATAGTAAATGATGGTAAATGCATCATTTTGAATGCATTATGTTTTTTATCTGAAGCCATTGCTAAAATTTCAGAATAAGAATTAAATTTCAAATTAGTAATCGATGTTACAAAATTGAGAACAATTTTCAAAGGAACAGGATTTTGATTTTGTAATACTGTCTTGCTATTATACACATTAACTACACCTTCTTTACTACCTGTTGCTAAAAATTGACCATTTGGTGACATCGCAATAGAGGCACAGGATAAACATCCATCATCTATAGCTCGATGAATGCATATCCGATTATTTACATCCCAAATATATATTTCATTGCTGTCTTTAATTGTTCAAAAAATAAATAAATAAATAAATATGTTAAAAAAATATACGAAATTGGATAAAATTTATAAATAAAGAAAACTTACCACCATGTGTAATAAGCATATTACTATCTGGAGTAAAGGCTAATGCTCTACATCTAGCATTCATTTTCAAAGTACTGATAAGTTCTTTAGAAGAAGTTGTTAATAAGAAAATTTCACCTGATCGTCCACAAATTGCTAACAATTTTCCATCTGGAGATACTTCATATTTCTAAATAATTAATTTATAAATCTTATTTTTTCTAATCATAATCAAAATCAATATAAGATTAAATAAAATTCTAATTTTAAAAACCTGCATATTTGTAATCCCATGTGGTAATAGCATTTTATATGTCTTTCCACTTATCAAATTATAGGAATGACAATGTCCATAATATTGAGAACCAATCAATACTTCTGTACCATCTCTCAAAAACTTTGCTGCACTAATAGGAAATTTCTTATATTGTACTGTATGTAATTTATTATTCTCAATACCATCTACCTATAATTAATAATCAAATTTTTATAAATTCTTTACTTGAATATGTATAAATACATACATAATTAAATGTTTTGTAATTACTTGGAAAAGAGATAAAATTCCAGATGTACCAGCAACCAGGGCTACAGTAGAAGATGGATGAAATTCAACACTTGATATAATAGGCCCTTCCATATGTGTTTGTTTATTAATTGGTGATAATGCTTTTATATCAATTATACTTTTTGATAAATTTTTTATTTTAGGTTTTTCCAAATGATTACTATGCTAAAAATATATATATATATATATATATATATATTTATTACATCAAATAACAAAATAATAAAAAAAAAATATTGATACCTTTAATATTTCGTTATCTAAATCATCAGATTCTTTATTAATTTTTTCAAGCTTAGCCCATTTTGGATTACCCACAAGCTGTTTATATTTGTTACATAAAAAATCTTTATATAATTTTTCTGGCACATCATCTGCTACTTTGCGATTCTGTGCCTTTTCAGCATCTTGTATGCTAATAAGAAATATAAATCAATTAATAATTTAAATAATAGCATTATATAGAAATAATATTTTTATTTATTATTAAATGAAATATATTTTTTATCATTAAATTTAATATACATACGAATAATGAAAATCATCTTCATCAATCCATGCTGCTGTTTTGCTACATTCTTCATAAATATCAGTTTGTATGCTCAAATCATTATTTAAATCATTAGACATAGAAATATCATTATTATTTTTATTAATATTCGACTTAACAGAATCATCGTTTGGTAAATTGTTTATTATATCACTTGGATCACCAAATACAATTCTTTCTAACCTATATATGAATAATATTATAAATTATGCGAATTATTTAAAGAATTTATTATCATTGCAATCATACCTAGCCTCCTCTTTTGGATCGTATTCATTTCTGCGTTTTCTTTTTAAAAGTCTAGAATATTTTTGATTATACAATATTTTTGAAGGTACGCATTTTTTTTTTAATTTTTTATTTTTTATCAATTTTTCATTTTTCAATTTTTTTTGTTTCATAATGAACTAATTATCTTTATAATTTATTTAGATAATACGTTAAAATGAATAAATTTAAAAATTTTTAATGTAATTTTATCCGTATAAGATTTGATTTTTTATAATATTAAAATAATATTAATAATATTTATAATATTAAAATAAATTAAAATGTGCATGTAGATATTTGCTTTTTAAAAATAATCTTATAAATTTATAGATTTTTAATAATTATATTTGACTACAAGATTTTCATCGATAAGATTTTTATAAACCTCAAACCATTGACTGTCATTATACTAAATCAACAATACATACATACATATGTATATTCATGCACTAACTATATGCACTATACTATATGAACTATACTGCATATAAAATTTACTATAAATTGTTTTTTGAGTTAAAACATATTTATGGAAATACAGAAATTTTTAATTTTTTTTCAAAAAATTTATTTAACAATATTTCTTAAATAATATTCTTAAATGATTTTTTCGTTTTCTCTTAAATGATACATATACATAAGTAAGTAAATAATATACTTAATATAAAAGATCCAGGATCGAGATGAATAAAACTTTAACATTCTTCATTGTAAGATGATAATGAAGATTTAGAATCAATATCAGAAGATAAATGTTCTTCCATTGCAAATAGAGAAGGACATTTCGGTTGATATTGTTCTACAGCTTCTAAAAGAGTGTTTGGATATCCCGGAGAATAATATCTAAAAATTAAAAATCCAAAGATATATTGAGATTTTATATATAATATAAAATGAAAAAAATGAAAATTAAAGTAAGAAAATTAAAGTAAAAAAAGAACAGAAAAGAGCAGAAGATGCAATATCATATATATATATATATATATATGAGAGAAAGGGGGCGGGGGGGAGAGAGAGAGAGAGAGAGAGAGAGAGAGAGAGAGAGAGAGAGAGAGAGAGAGAGAGAGAGAGAGAGAGAGAAATATTAAAACAGACATAGAAAATGAATAGTGACTATTAAATATAAATAATTTATCCTATCTTATAAATTGATATAAAAATTCATATTGAAGTTAAAACATTAATAAATTTATAAATATTTTGTATATATAAGTTTCATCAAACGTTGTATCAAACTATTAATAATAAATATAAAATCATTATAATTTATACTATAGCGATTATAGAAATTGTTAAGTTCATGTAAAATTATTGATCCATTAAAATCCAAGTTTATATTTTTCCAATGCTATCAGTTGTGACAATATGGCGGTTACGCCTTATATTATGTACTTGTCCGATTTAAATTAAGACATACAATCTAAAAACAGAGCTGCAGTTATTTGCATTCATTGTTCGTATAAACGACTGTTAAGAAGATTATTTTTTTTATTAATAAAAACTTCGTGTTTCCAAATTTTCCTCAGCAAGTAAGTCATTAATAGGGTTATGTCAAAAGCAACTAGTGTTTCTTTTTCTTTTATATAATTATATACTTTTGTTATTATTTTTATATACATATAATTCTTTACATGCATTAATTATTTAATTATTTTGATGAATAAAATAATTCAATTTTAAATATTAAAAAAGCAATTGTTTCAATAAAATATCTATTATATGTTAGATAGTTATATTGAGAAATGGCATAATTTAATAAAAATAAAATATAGTTTTCTCTAGGAATATCATAAATTATTATAAATTATTATTTAATAAATATATCTTATATTTATTAAAATAATAATAATTATTTAATGAAATTTTAAGAATATAAAGTATTATCATAAATCAAATATTAATATAAAACAAAATTTTTATAATTTTCATAAATAAATAAAATAAAGTTATTCTAATTCAAATAATTTTTAGAAGAAATATAAAAATTATGTATAACCTGACAATTTCTTCTGGAAAACAGCAATTTATAATTTGTATATATTCAAAAAGTGTTGAACCAGGATCAGTCTGGATTTCTTGTACTTTTTTTAAACCACCAGATGTGACAAATAATCTTCTTGCTCTGGCATCATGAGGCAAAATCTATATATTAAAATAATAAATGTTTTGATTATTTCTTATTATTGATTATTTTTTTATATTAATATTTTGATTAACTATATAAATAATCAAAAAGAAATATTATTGGTTATTAATTTATAGGAATCTAAAAAATAAATAAAATTTTTGAATCTTAATGTACACATTGTTTAAATGCAATTATTTAAAATAAATTTAATTTCTTAAATAATTTAATTTTACAATAAATTCAAATTATTAAAAATTTTTTTTTTATCGTATTATATATATTTTATATTATATTGTTTTTAATTTTATAAAAAACTTAATAAAAAGACAAAAAATATTAAAATTAATTATAAAATATTTGAAATCAAATTATTTTTTATATTATATAATTCAAGTTGTTTTTTAATTTATCTATAATTTTTAATGTCTATATTATAAAAAGCACAAATTATGAAATTAAAGCATCTAACAAATAAAAATTCTTTTTACATAAAATATCATGCAATTTATATATGCTTAACCAATTTATTTAATAACTAAAAAATACTACGATTTTTATCATTATTTCGTTTTTAAACATTGCTCGTAATTTTATAATAAAAACCAAGATTGCCCATATTTTTCATCTTCTTCTATCACCAAAAATATAATTTTGAAATACAAAATTCCAAAACAAAGTTGTGAAATAACATATCTATCATAAATTTTAATAAATTTTTTGTCATTATAAGTAATATTATTATATATAATACAATAAGAATTATTAAATTTTTTCAGCTTCACTATGGTACCAAAAATCGACCGCTAAAAGGAAACGGAAGAAAATTTAACAGCATTTTTTTCATAATTATTTTCAAGTTTTTAATCTTAAACAATTGCAGTTTATCTTTTTTATTATAAAGTATAAACTTTTTAATAAAATTTAATCTTGAATAATTTATGCATATTGGAAAAAAAAATTCTTCGAATTTTTGAAAAAGAATTTAAAGTATCAATTAATAAATAATATTCTAAATACAACGATTCTAATAAAATAATTGAAAAAAAAATTTAATGAAATAACAAGAATAAAAATCAAAATTGAATTGCAAGATTTAAAGTATTGCAATTAAAAGATAACAAAATAAGACAGATGCCTTAAAATTTAAATATTCAACTGATAAAAGATGATATCATTGTATACAAAAACTAAATTATACCATATATTAAATGATGCTGTTCATAAAATTTCTAGCAAATATTTCAGACATGTTTAACATAAAAGTCTGTCATTTATAAGAATTTAACTTGTTCTAAAATTGTGCAGTGTAATCACAGAAGTATTACAAACTACATGAAAAGTATTCTTTATATAATTTCTACAGTTGAAAATTTTGAAATACATGTTATATATTGTATATTATTGATATAAAGACATTAAGTAAAATAGTGAAAAATTAACTATAGACATGATAAACAATCAACATTGTGTTATTCTTAATTCCGGAGAGACCAACAGCTATCATCAGCCGGTCTCTGCAAAACCTTCTGTTGTTTCTGTATCGAGTATTGATTCTGATGTGAGTGACAGAAGAGATGTACGTGAAGAACTTTATGCTGGAATTTTTAGAAGACATAGAAAGACCATACTTGTATTAGGCAGTTTTCTCAAAATGTTAAGGGTGAATAGAAACATGAACAATTATGCTAGTATTAAACCTAATGATGACAATGATGAATAAAGAAATGATTTTATTGCATGAATGAAGTAGAAGATCAAGTCTAATTTTTTATAATAAAATTAGTTAAAATAAGTTAGTTATTGCTTTGTAAAAAAAGAGAAAAAAAAAAAGAAAAAAAACTAAATACAATTGAATTAATATAAAAATAAAATTAATATAATTTAATTTTTTAAATATACATTTTTGTACTTTTTTCTTAAAAAGAAGCTTATCTTACATAAAGTTCTATCTTGGCAAATATTTATCTTTTAATTACATTCAACCATCATATATTATGGATCTATTTACCATGATGACTATGTAGATCATAAATTTATACTTGTAATATCATTTTATGTATGTTTTGTAATAAGAACATATGAATCTATTTGTATGTTTCGCTTAATAATAGCATTATTAATTGATAAAAAATATTTAAGAATCATTTATATCAATAAATTTATATGTAACTTTTAGATATAAAATTATAGCACAAATTATTATTTATCATATTTTTTACAAAGCAAGACATTTTAATTAAAGTATAAATATTTTAAATATCATTTGATATCATTTATTTTATTTTTATAATTTGCTTTTTATAATAAAAATTAATTTTTCTCATGTTATAAAATAAATTATTTTAGTATTTACATATTAAAATAGAAACTAATTTTTCAAATTATTTTCAAATATTATTTATACAATTATTATAGAATAATATAATTTTGTTTTTTTTTTTCTCATTTTTCAGAGATACTTGGATAAATTGCATGCTCTAAATCGAATATATGCCTTAATTGCTTTACAATTTGAAATTATTATACAACAAAAGTTTTGGTGAAATGAAATTTTAATTATTGTAATATATTTGTTTATAAAAATTTTGAGTTAATTTGAATAAACGCTTTTAAGACTTAGAATTTATAAAGCTTTATAAAAATCTCATAGTTTGGATTTATTTGTAATTGTTATTCATTATTTGTTTTTTCTTTTTAATTTTTATCACGAAATTTTTGTTAAAATGAAATTTAATAAAAATGAAAAAAAATTGCAAAATAAATAAAAAATTAGCAAAATATCTATAATAAAATGAAAGTAACTATTACTGCCAATCACATATATAATACATTTCTTTACTTTATATCTATATATAAAAGCTAGATAATGCAATTCAATTTAAATATGATCAACTTTTTTGAGAAGTAAATTTAATAACAGTCTTTTGTTATTTATATCTATAAATTTTATATTACTGATCTCTTTATATGAAATACTGCCATTACATAGAAATATATGATATAATAAATGCAATAGTTTAAAAAAAAAAATGTTTGAATATTTAAAATTGCGATTAAATATATGTATATAAGAAGCACTTAATAATTCGATTGTTTTTATATTTTAGTTGAACTATTTATTATCTTAAGACTGAGAAATGTGCTTTTTCAGAATATATTATCTGCTATAATATTTATAGATAAGTATTAAAAATAAAAATAATTAAAATGATCTTTGTAATTATCAATTTTTTCACTTTAATCAAATATCAAACAAATGCAATGACATTTATCATATCGATATTATTATCCTTTTCATAAAAGGATTGACATTTTATAGTATGTTATGATTAAAGTTAAATAAGTATTTAAATTAAAATAAATATACAATTTTGAAATATATAAAATACATAAAAATTATGAAAATATAAAAAATTCAATTATATCAATCCAGAATAATGTTATAAAATGAAAATTTTATTATTAAATAATTTATATATGACAAAAATATACCATTATATCTGTTTAACTAATTTTCCAACAATTTCAAGTAACTTGATAATGATTCACACACACACACACATATATATTATTTATTGTGTAATCATATTGCGTAATAAAATTATGATTAAACAATATTGTGCAATAATAAATTTTACTATTTAGTTAAATTTGTTATTGATTTATATAATTTATCTCGTTATATGCATGTGATAAATAATAAATTATAATAAACATTTTATTTTAATTAAAAATTTAAAAAAATACTATATCAATTACTGTAATATTTTATTTCAATTTATAAATATTATGTACAACTTATAAAGAATATGTATAAAGTAAAGAGTTACATATAAAACAAGATATTAATTGTATTTCTTACCTTACTAAATTGTCCAAGTACATATTTTAGAATATTAGGTGGCGAGTCATATAATAAAGCCTCCAAAGCTTCAATATACATACATTTTTGTAGTATTTGTTTCAGTGCTGTATTACATTTTGCTTTAAGATCTTCTGAACTATTTGGATTATTATAAAGCTGAAAATAAATTATAAAATTAATGGTGAGCAATTAATAACAATATGATAAAATACTAAAAATACATTTTCAATATACTTCTAATAACTTTGGAAGAATATTTGCAACTGCCACTGCCTTTGCATGTTCTGATGTATGTTTTCCAATTTGACCAATTGCCCATACAGTAACTGCAAGTGTGTGATCATCATTTTCTTCATGCAATATTGTAGATAAGTGAACAATTCCCTATAATAAATATTCGTTCTTATTTTTTATTTCTTTCATATCATAACAACATCATACTTTAGATCCTATAACTGCAATAGCTAACTGATCTGAATGTCCTGCAATGTATCCAATTGCCATTATTGCTGGTAATCTAACTGTTAATTTTGAAGTGCTAAATAATTCGACAAGTGCACCAATACCACCAATATTCACAATAAGTTGGGCCATCTAAAAAAAAAATATAATTATAATGGAATAGTGTATTGTAAATAAATTAAAATATAATTTTTTTACTTCTAATGTATGTTTACAAATTTCTCTGGTTAACATTGCAGCAGCTTTAACAACACATTCATCAGGATGTGCCATATGTACAAGAACATCAGGAAAAATTTCAGCTTCAATAATAGATTCTGCCAGATGTGCAGAATGTTTTGCTATACTGCTTAATGCCAAAAGAACTTGACGCTATGTATATTATTAATAAATAAAATATTATGTTATAAAATCATTCTCTCTATATAGGATACCTTATATCACCTTTAATTTAGTATCAGGATTAGATAGTGCCTTTGCAAGAAAAGGAATGGCTCCTGCATCAACAACATTTTCTGCAAGATCAGTAGAATGTTTGCTTATATCAAATAAAACAGATGCAGTAATTTGTTTTATACATAATTCAGGTTCTTGCAAGGACAAAACCAAAAGTGGTACAGCTCCTATAAATTAAATAATTTATATAGAAGAATATAATTAATTTATGTAATGTTATATACATACCTGCATCTACTGTAGTTTGAGCTAAACTCTTATTATGTCTAGCAATATATCCCAATGCCCAAGCAGCAGCTTCCTTAACACCAGAATCAAAATCTTCCAAACAAATTATTATAGTGTCCAATCCATTACTTTGAATTACCATAGATGCAAATTCAGGGGAATGTCTAGCAATTGCACGTAAAACAAATAGGGCTGCTTTTTTATAAAATTTCTATAACAAATATGCTTCAATGTTTTCATAATTTATTTATTATGTTTTAAAATATAGTAAAATCTACTAAAAAAAAGAAATATAGTTTTCTACAACTAAAATGCTTACATTCATACATTTTGTTTAGCAATATTCTTCAATAATTGAGGTAAAATATCCATTCTTACAATAGTCTGTGCCAATTTTTGATTGTTATTTGCAATTTTTCCTAATGCAACAGCAGCCATATGTTGAATAGATGGTACAAGATCTGTTAGTAAAGGACATAAAAGATCCAAAACACCAGCAGCTTCTAAACATTCTATAGTATTTGGTTTTGAAGCAAAATCAGCAATAGATTGAACAAACAATAGACGAGCCTTTTGATATTGATCAAAAACTATAAATATAAAAGAATTATCAATATTAATATTATATACAAGCATAAGAATTATTATAATAAATTACTAGTACAAATACAAAAAAGATATAAAAAATGTTTTATTCTATTTTATTTATATATTATTTATATTATTGTCATCTATATTAAAAAACCGTTAAATTAAACTAATTTAAAAATTATACCTTGTAAAATTGAACGTGCCGTCATTTTCGTTTATAATAAATTTGTAAATATACATATGCAATGTGTTTTTTATGTTAATATGTTTTTATTTCATTTAACTATCATATGTTTAAAAACGAAAAACTACCGCTCCTTGCATACTATGCACTATAGTGACTTGGTATAACAACATAAACAAATATTTGATCGAATAGAATATATGTTCGTTAATTGTCAAGACTTATAATTGTTAAACAGAATTTAGTAATAAAAAAATATAACGATAATAGTAAAACAATTTTTTTTGCATAATAGTTACTATTATTAAAAAATGACTGAAGATTTATTATCTAAAGAAAAAGGATTTCATCAATTAAATAAAGAACTTGAGCAGAAGGCATATAATTTAATGACAAAAATAAATTGTGTTGTTAATACTTATAATAATGAATATTCAATTTCTAATTCGAAAAAACATCAAATAAATGTGTCCGAAGAAAAAACAAGTTCAAATAGTATACCAATGCAAAATGAATATAATTTTCAGGTTCCAGTTAAACGAAATTCATCATTACCACATATTTTTAATCAATTTTCAACTTCAAAGTTGTAAGTATGAAAAAAAAGTAATAATTTATTTTTAATAAATATAATTTATTATATTTATAAATATAATATTTTAAAATTAATTTTATTATATTTATAATATATTATATGTAGAAAATTAAAAAATTATATCATATTAAATTTAATTTTGAAAAAGAGTCAAAATTTCATATTAAAATATTGAATTTATATTTATATATAATTTTTATTATATTATATTTTAATTTTTTTATTTTTTATGCATACTAGAAAACTAGAATTACAGAAGGATAATGAAGATGATATTTTTAAACAAAGAAACTTAGCAAGTAAAACTGTTTTTAACTTCTTAAAAGCTAAAATAGATATATTACATAATGAGCTGCAAACAATGCATATTGAATATAAAAAAAAGGTATTTAAAATTTATTTAATATTTTTTTAATTGATTTCTACATAATTATATTATCTTTTTTTAGAATGATATTTATAAAAATTTAGAATGTGAAAGTAAGAAAATTGAAATTAAGTTGAAGACTGAAATAGAATCATTAAAAGAAACAGTCACAAAATTAGAAAACACTAACAAGGAAATACAATGTCAATCACAGGCATTACATGTAGAAAATTTAATTTTAAAAAAAGTATGTAATATTAATAAAATATTTAAATATATTATTTTATATATTAATATTTTATAGCATATTTTTAATTTATCTTATGCATATTAACAGGATTTGGATAGACTTCAGAAACAAATAAAAATAACAAATCATCAATCTAATAGTTGTACTATAAGATTAAATAGATCTTTAGAAAACAATGATAAACTTAAGAATGCACTGAAATATTCCGAAGTAGAAGAAAAGGTTCAGTTTATAAAACTATTTAATATTAATCATAATACAATTTTACAGATTAGTCATAATACAATTTTATAATTAGTTATAATATAGATTTTTATCCTGCTTTATTTCATAGGAATTGAAAATTCAAATTAGAGATCTACAAGAAGAAAAAAAATTAACAATTAATCATTTGCGAAAACAACTTTCAGAATTGATACAAGTGTTTAAAAAACAAATGTTAATTGTAGATAACTTAAAGAAGCAAAATGTATGTATATATTTTATATCTTTTATAAAATTACATATACAAGTTTATGTATGTACTTTAATTTATATCTTATAATCTATATATGTGTGTGTGTATATATATATATATATATATATATATATATATACATACACACACATATGTATGTATGTGTATATGCATGTAAATACTCATATGCACACAAGGCATGCTTACTGGCAGTTGGACAACTAAAATTAGCAAAAGAAGATTTTTCAAGATTATTGGATCAAAAACCTGAAAATTTATAATATATATTATATATAAAACATTTATTAAATGTACGTAACTACTGCAATACATTGCAAAAGATGGAATAATTTCATTTCATAGCCATACATTTTATACAATTTTATATTACATGATATTATATATCCTTAATAATATTTTTTATGAAAAATCTGTGTTTTTCAATACATTACCTGTCATTCATTATGAAATTTGAAAATTTTGTTTCTTGATCTAAATTCTATAATTCATCCCAATATCTTTTTTATTTGATTTATTTTATCTAAAATGTCTTTTTCAGCATATATTTTTAACATTTAATAAATAATTTATAATGTTTGAAAAAAATAATATATATATATATATATGTAAATGAATTTATTACAAAAAATGTTAAAACAAAATTCTAAATATATATTCATTATGTAAATCATGTATGTATAAAAAATTGTATTGGTACTTTCATTTTAAAATATTATGTATTGTTCAATTTTACAAAAAAGATATGCAATTGATTTTCATTGTTAATAATTTAATAAACTTAATTGAATTAATCTTCATTTAAAATAATTTTTAAAAATATTTTTCAATTTATTTACATTTTTATGTCTTATTTTATGCATAAAAAATTTGATTGAAAATAACAAATCTTAGTATGTATAAAAATTCATTTAATTTATCTTTAAATTTAATTTTCAAATGTTTAAAAAAAAACTGATTTTTCAAAAAACTTTTCATCAAATGAATTTTATAAATTCTTATTTTATATTTTTTTAAATAATATATATACCATTGTATATTTGCTATGCTTATAAAAGCAGTTTGATGTATTCTAAACACTATCATTGAAAGCAGTTAAATAACATTAAGTGTCACAAAAAAGTGAACGAAGATAAGTATATTTATTTGCATTTTAATTATTACTGCGCAATCTAATTTTAATGTTAAACTATTAAAATCCCTATTACATTCTGTTTAATAAAATATATTAAATTAATTATTTTTGTTTTTCTTTTAATATGAAGATGTTATTTTTTTTTTTTTTCAAATATTTTATTATAACTCCCTGTTCCCTTTTTGATGCTATTTTTATAATTACGATAACGTTCCGTTTAAAATTCTAATTTTATAACTCTTTTACATATTGTGTTTTACAACTCAACCTCACATACATGTATACATCAAAATCTGCTATCCTTATTAAAATTAAAAGCATTAATACATTAACAATTTTCTTATTTAAGTCATTATTTGTTTACATTTAAAATTATACTATATCATTTTCGCATTTTATATTGCACTTTTAATATTGAATTTATTATAGCTTCTAAAACATATGATTTTCAATAAAGTATGTAAATAAATCATACCATAAGATTTTGATACATTCGTCGCTGAGAGAAAATATACAAGAAATAAATTTTTTATATGTAGATGTAATAATATACACAACATACATTTCTGATTTGAATATTTTTAAATAAAATATTACTTCATATTATTTTTATTATAAATTAACTGTGAAAATAATTATATAGTTTCTTTATTTCTTTGAATCATAATAAAAACTTATGTAAATGTGAGAGTGTTACTCACGAAAACAATGAACTTTATATTATTAGGGCAGACTTTTTTATTCACTGGTATAAAATTTTTTCTGTTGTACACGTGATTAATAATTAAACTTCTCTAAATGTTGCATTAAAATGTATTACTATCTATGTATTTAAATTCTTGTTTTTCATATTATATTATAATACAAATAATTAATGAAATTACATTTCTTTCTTATTTTATAATCTCATAAAATTATATTAATGCACTTTATGCTATTTGAAAGAAAAAGAAAAAAATAAAAAAAAAAAATAGTGCATGCCCAGCCTTTCATCCTCGTTCATTAATAAGTGTCTTACAATATATGTTAAATTTATTTAAAACATTTGTTTTATTTATTTTATTCTTACCACGCTTAACTCTAAATTTTATTCGCTCTTTTCTCTCTCACTTTTTTGATTGATTTTATGAATTTATAATTTTGAAAACATTTTTTACTATTCCCTTAACATAAAAGATTAGATTCGTGCATTTTTCATTTTTCATAATACGATAATATGATATCAAAAACCAGCAATATTTGAATTTACGTCAAAGACGGCGTAGACAGTAATACATCTAGCAGCTTGACTATGAAATGATTTTATTAACATATTATAAAAACCAGACTCTAAATGCGACCAGAGGGACAACATGGTACAAGGGCATCCATGTACAAGGAGAATGTATGAGATTCAAATTCGAGACTTAAATAAATATTGTGACAATATCTAGAAATGACATTGAATAGTCATCTTTCATTTGCATGTATTGTTGCTGCCATATCGTTGTCTTGGATCAACTTGATCATGCCAGGTAGCTATAAGTGTCCTTTTGGCCCTCTGTGCGCTCCAGATATTCTTTTTCAATTAAAATATCTATACATTTCTGAAAAAGCAAAATTATCTTATATTAATTTATTAATATTATTTTATTAATTATAATTATTATTATAATTATTATTATAATTAATTTATTAATTATATTTATTTTATTTTTATTTATTTTTTTAAAGAATCCTATTTATATTATATCATATATAATATTATGTTATGATAAGTTTATATATATATATTAATAATATATATATATAATAATAATAATAATATAATAAAGTTTATATATATATATATATAATATAATTATATATAATAATTTAATAATAAAATTTTAAAAATAATAAAAAAAAAGAAAAGATACTGACCTTAATGACATGTACTCTTGGTTTGAACCTAGAGCTTAATTGATTCAATACTTCAGCTACCAATTGCTGATGTTTCAATACTTTTCTCATTTTCATAATCCTAACAATAGCTGCCTGAATTAAGAGTTTTCTATCTTCTTCTATATTTTTTTGTGTTGTTTCTTGTTCAATCTTTAATTCCGTTTTCATTGGTATATTAATATTTACTCTCAGTTTCTTGCTGTCATAAAAGTAATATATCAATATAATTTCTGGTGAAACAAATATCAGAAGTAATTAAATTAAATATACTTTTTATATCCTGTAAATAGTTCCACTGTTGACAGTGGCGTCAATTCAGTTTCGTCATCAGTAGCTGCCGTTAATAGCTTAGCTTTCAAGAGTATTTGAATAACCTGTAAAAGAAATTAAATAATTTAGAATCTTTTTTACACATATTTCATTTTTAATTTTTATTATATTACCTGAAGCAAAAAATCCATTTTTATTTGTGTAGCATCATGTAATTGTTGAATCGTCCACACTGTGGATCCATTATATTGTAATAAAACAGCCATTTGAAATGTGGATGCTTGTAATGTGTATCTGCAATGAAATAATGAATTTTCATTTATAATGTAAAAAAATTTTTTGGGATCTTAAATTTTATTGTTTTATAACCTATTTTTAAAACAATTTGTATGCAATTCTCCTTTAGACATATTGTACAACCAATTCAACTTTCTTCCACTATGTTGTGAACTATAGAAGGTAGTGAACCTATGTACAGATCTTTCTAGCTGTAACATAAAAATAATAATATTTAAACTATAATATTATCTTTTAAATTGATTATACTATTTGATATATATTAATTGATAATTGTTTACCTCTGTTGGCAATGAAAACGTAAAAGACTGTTGAAATGGCCAGGAGCCAGAAGACAGGACTTGTATATTGAAATCTATATCCAATGGTTCAGCAGAATTTGTCAAATGCCTTCTAAATTGTTCATTTAAGTCCTTAGATACACCAATATCCTGTGAACAGACTGCTACAATTATAATGTTATATAATTTTAATCAATATTCTTAAACAGTATAAAAATAATTGCCTATAAAAATGTAAAAAAGAAAAAAAAATTGGAGATGTATAAAATTAATGCAAATTAATTAAAAAGAATATCATAGCATAATACAGTACCTGAAACATTCGTTGCAATTTTGAGGTGTATTCAAAACCACAAGCTTGTTTCAATTTAGAAATCATAGAAGCTTCTGCATCATCACTGGCAGACATATGTTGTACTAATCTTTTTGCCAGCATTTTACTATAAAACTTTTGAAACACATCTTTGTCTTCTATATATTTAAATACCACCATCTATGATTGGTAAAAAAAAAAATTAATATTTTTATCAAATAAAAATTTATTATTATTTATAATTTTAATAATTTACTCACAACTTGATTCAATGTATCTTCAAGTTCAGCTTCTTCAGGATTTTTACTACTTTTTTTTAATAATAAGTCACAGTATTTTGCTAATAATTCTGGTGATTTACTGCTGCTATTTGCTGCTCTAGTTACTGAATTACTGTTAATAAATCTTCCACAAGCCTTATCAAGAGCTGCCACAAAACCACTGTCATTATTAAATGCAACAAGTACTAAAGCATTATATTTCTTATGAACCTCCAGAATTGTGTTTACATAAACCTTTGGATCCTATAAAAATATTTATGATATAAAATTAGATACCAAGTTATTATTAATATATAATTATTATAAATAATAAATAAATATACATTGGCTGCAGAATCACCACATTTATCAATAGCTCCAAGTCCTTGATTAGCTATATGACCTTCTAAAAGATTCCTTAATTCGCCAAGTCCATTTGGAATCCTTGCTACTAATTGATACATTCGACCTAAGTCTATGTTCTTATCAGCATCCAAGAGATTTTGAAATTCAGAATGAAAAATATCTAAATGTTTCTCAATTAACACTCTCTCACATGTTTTTGCTAATTTATCATGAGTTGTTTGATGTAAATATACTTGAACTCGTTTTTGTTCTTCTAATAATCTTTGTTCTGCCTATAATAAACTGGTATTTATTAAAAATATCTTTAGAAAATATATCAACAAAATAACTGTAACAAAATTTAATTTCAAAACCTTTTTCATGTATTCTGTAACTGGATTTTGTCGGAGGAACTCAGAACTTTCACGAGTGTAAAACCTTTCTGTATCTTCAAGGAAGACATTTTCAAAAGAATTACTGTAAACAGTAAGATTCTGTCCTTTAGCACCAGGATCTTCTTCATTCATACCTAATTCTACATAACAATTGATTACGCCACTGACTAAACGTGTATTTATTGTTTCTCCATTGCGTTCTCTCTCAATTAATTTAAGTACTGCATTAGTAACCTGTTGTATGTAATCTCATTTGTTAATTCATTTTTCATATATTTATCTATTAAATTAAATTGCTTACTTGTCTATTTAAATGCTTGAATAAGTTATCTCGCCATGTAACCAAAGCTGATTGATATACTTCGTAGATTCCTTTACGACCTTCTTCACATTCTCTACGTACCCAATGTCGATTTAGATATGAACATACACCATTCAATACTTTACTACTAAATTGATATTCTTCCCATTGTCTTGTATAGAACTGTAATACATCTTCATCCATCAAGTCAATTCCATGCTGCATAAAAGATATTAAATTAAAATATTAAGTACTACATCTTAGTATTAATTAATAATAATAAACAAGCAAAAAAAATTACCTTTAATAAACTTATAAGGTAATTTCTAAGAAAGTCACGTAAACGTTTATATAACTCCAAACCAACTAACTGTGCACCTCCTTGAGAAATTTGTCCTTTCTTACTTTTGGTCGATGTTCTAGTTAATTGTTGATGAACACTTGTGCAATAATTATATACATGTCTAATGAGTTATATAATACAATAAGGAAATAATAAAACAAATATAAATATAAACAATTATTTTATTTTTATTTATTTTTCTTTTTCTTTTTCATTATTTAATTTTTAAATTATAAAGGATACGTGTACAATTCTATATATCTTGGTTTAGACATACATTGCCTGTTGTAAACTTGTTCAATACCCTCACGAAGATCTCCCCAAATTTGATCTAAATCTATTTGTTTAAGACCTGCTGGGCCTCCTTGATGGCTCCCAGCTCCTCCTCCGCCTCTATGCCCTGACATCCTATTTTTATACGCTTGTCGAGTGAGCGTCACTGTTACTATTGTCTACTATAATTTCTGTAGAAAAATAAAATTTGCTATACTTAATTTGATATATGAGAAATATAACATAATGTGAATATCAAATAATAATCAATAAAATTTTAGTTTTATACATATAGAAATATAATATTAATTTTATTCAAATATTTTAAAACCTAGATGAAAATAATGATGATGATGATGATAATGATGATGATGATAATGATTATGATAATAAAAATAATAATAATAATAATAATAATAATAATAATAATAATAATAATAATAATAATAAAAACAGGAAACAACATATTTAATGGTTGCAATAAATTTTAAAATATTCTATTACATCTAATGATTTCAATTAATGATCAGTTATTCTAAAATTTTAATGTCACAATCATTTGCTTATATATACATTTAAAGCTGTTGAAATCTTTTGTAAAACTATAAATAAAATTATGTAAAAACGTTGTGCATTATGAAGAGTATTAAAGGAAAGTGTCTGTGAATGCGATTGGATAGACATTTATGAGAAACAAAAAATAATAAAAAAATGATAAAAAAAAAAGAAAAAAAATTCATTTGAACATAAAAGGTTAATCGGTAATCGGAAGATCCATACCGATGTAGTTACATCAGGATGCACATCGTTAGCAGTAGCTCGAATTTTTCGTCAGGAAACTTCAGAACATCGCAAATCTTCGTGCTACAACACTACCATCCGTCATTGAAGATCCATAAAAAGCAATTGACAAAAATAACACCATTGCAACCCATTGCCATAAGAGAAAACTTTTTCCGTTGATAGATCGAGGGAAATATTGTGAGATAGAAAGCGCGCACTCACCTGTCGACGTTCACCACCGCATAACAGGCAGAGTTGGACAAGGGAGTTCTCGTGAAAACGTGGTGGCTACTTTTAACAATCACCGATACTTTGTTCTACATACGCTTTGACAAGAAATTTACACTGCATCTGCTTGTTACTTCTGTGCTCTATACGATGACAAGCACAGTAAAACCGCGAACCTAAAATGTTGTATCTATGTACCCAAAACTCACTACAATTCCAATCTGCTACTTTACTTCTGACAGGTTAGGCATCATTGTTACCAACGAAAGAGTGTTTTCTCAAATTTACTTTGTTGCTAGCAAACAAAATATATTTTACTCTTTGAATTATAATTAAATTTTTTCTTATTTATTTTTAATATTATCTCATATTAATTTATCATTTGAAAATTATATAAATTAAAAATCTTTAAAATAGAAATCTTATTAATAACTATAAGAAATAATAGTGCTTTCCTTTTAAGAATGTGGATATATTGATTATGAAATTAATGTATAAAAATCTTAACAATAGTTATTTTTTTGCATCATACAATATTTCATATATATTTAAAAATACTATGTAATTAAAAATACTTACCATTATTATATATTAAATATAATTTTGCTAATATTATTGATTTGGTTATTTTTATAAATATAAAAAAATTATAAATATTATATAGTTTTTAAATAATATAAACAAATTAAAATTAAATATTTAATATATAAATTCGAACAAATTAAATTTGATTATATTTAAATTTTATTTTAATATAAAATTATTTTATTATTTATCTTATTATTTTAATATATAAATATATATTGAAAAGTGAAAAAAATAAATAATTTTAAAATGATTCAAATATGCATAATATTTTTAAAAAGATAAAATTGAAATTTTGGAATGTAAAATCTATAGGTAAGAATGTAAAATCTAATAAACACAAATAATATAAAATATTTTATTTAAATATTTATAGTTTTTATATTAAAGTAGATAATAAAATTATTGTTCTAATAAATTTTGTTAAAATTTTGTCAGTATTATACTAGAAAATTTTTATTTTATTTAATTCAATAAGAAAGTAACATTAATAATTTTAATATTTATATAAGTAAATATACATTGAATTTAATAGATAAAAGGAATATAATAATTGATCAAATAAAGGAAATATCTTGATGAAAAATAAGATGAAGTAATGTTGCAGATTAAATTTTTTTATTGCCACAATAAGCTGAAATACAAAATTATCCATGTATAATTTTATGATTTAGGAATAAACTATTATTTTATGCAATGCTAAATTCATATAAAAACTTACTTTATAATTGATAATTGAGGCATGCCTGGATCAGCACCTTTCCTAAAGCCTGTAACAATAAATTAATTGTAAAACAAATTAATGAATTGATTTACATATAATGGATTAATTTTATTATAATATAACATTATTGTATACGAATTATTTATAATTGTTAAATAAAAAAAAGTTATAAGAAAAAACTAACCTAAGAATAATATAGCGGGAATAAATCCCCAATGAAATATAGCTTTGCTCACATCCAAAATAATAGCAACTTTTTGCTTTGTACGCGGACACATCGCCATTTTTACAGATTTGTTATGTACAAAATTAATATAGTTTAGATTAATATTTATATATATTACGATATAGAATATATGCAATTGATGAACTTCGATATAATGATGAGTATACGTACAATGAAATTTTGAACGATTACGAAAATCAAATGTTATTGAAAACAAGCGTATATTTTTATAATTATAACATGTGTTTCCTTTCGCTAATTAATCAAATTTATTCGATCATACAAATATCATATTAAGTCATATTTTTATTTTATTTTGTTTTCTTAATCAACAATTGAAATTTCGATTATTGAAGACAATCTTTAATTTCTTTAGATAGTAAATCTATCTAATATTTTGTAGTTCATGCTTACGTTTTGACGTTCATCCATTATGTAAAATATTTCAATTAATTTTTTCACTTTTAGTTTTCTCTCAATGGTAATTTTACCTATTTATATCTGTAAAATATTTTTTAAATATTTTACTAAAAAAAAAGAGAGAGAAAAATAATTATTGTATATTTCTTTAATATTTTGCAAATATAAATTTATATTCGTATCATAAAATATTCTTTCAGAGTTCATCACATTATTGTATTTGGGGTTTATGTGATTCATGGCAATACTGTTGCGGTGATAATGTTTGCTGCGATGAAACTGATTTTAATATGTTACTCGTAACGTACGTTTAATATTTCTTCAATTTAATATAACATATAAATAATAATATTGACAATTTCACATTAACAGGATTATTTTTGGGATAATTATCATTATGACATTCTGTTGTATTTGTTTTTATTGCATCTCTCGGCGAATTTATATGTCTTTTCTAAAAAAATATTTTAAAATTATATATATTTTAACTCAAAAAGAGTTTAAAGAAAGAGAATGGGAAGATAAGGTAAATATTGTAATGATTAAAGAATCAAAAGTAGAAGATTGCGTTGTATGAATAAAAACAACAAAAATTATATTCCAATAAACATTATACTTATATATTCTATATTATATTTTTCTCAACCCATTATTATTAATAATTTCCGATAATATTAAGAAATACCCATGCTTTGATATTAAAAATTATTTTATTATTATTATAATAAAACAATAAATAATTATATGATAAATAAAAATAATATAGTTAATAGAATAAATATTTTCGAAAAAAAAATATTATTTATAACAATACGAAATTTTATTTTTTTTAATATAAGAAAGGGGCATATAAATGAGCATATAAATTTTGCCATTAAAAAAATAAAACTACGTTGATGATTTATAATATACGACAATACTACAATGATTAGATCGAATTAAAATTTTTAAGTTATGCAATCTATTGTATTTGTTGAATAATACTTTAGTTTATACTAATTTATTTATTACAATTCAGTTTACTTATATTGGCAATCCTGTGTTTGATGACGTCATTGTAAAGTTCCGAAATTGAAATCAATAAACGGTGTGCAATGTTGTGTGCACATGATAGTCGAAGCGAAATGGTGATTATATCAAAACAATTTGGCAGAGCGCATCGTTTTTATTTGTTAAGTACGAGAGTGTAAATATTCTATTAGAAGATGGCCCGAAACACGAAAAAAAAATTGGCGATATTCGCTGGAACATCAAAATGTTTAATATATGTGAGTAATTTTTTTCAATTTCAATTATATTTGTTTCGATATTGTTTATTCAAAAATATCAAAGTTATTCTTTAGAAGTTATACTTTATATTTTAAATTTACAAAAACTTGTTTTTAAAATAAATTACGAAAGTTTTAATTTTTTTTTAATATAAACTATGCGATTTTTTTCTTTAATTGAATTTACCAAATATTTTTTTTTTTACTTAAAAATGATCGTATTTATCTCATATTAAGATCAATTTCTAAATTATATTTAATTTAATTTAATTTAATCTCTCTCTTTTATCCTTTTTATATAATTGTATACAATATATAATATATAATATTTATTTATGCATTATTTAAAATTTAAAAAAACAACTTGTTTTAGGCAGAAGCAAAGTATTGTGCCTCTGAAATGCCTGGAGAAATAAAATATTACGAGTGAGTTTTATCTAAATATATTTATCTTATAACAGTAAAGAGAATAGGAAAGCTTTTTTTTTTCTCTTAAATAGTAAAATTTTTTAAATTAAAATAATTAAAAAAAAAATGATAACAATTAAGGAAAAAATGGAAAGAAAGAAGAAAAGAAAGAGAAGGGCAGGAAGAGGAGAAAAAGGAGCATGAAGAGAAAAAAAGAAAGATAAAAATGAAGTATAGAAAATGTATCAAAGCGAAAATGTATAATTATATATTTACATATATCTTTTAGGTGTCCTAGAACCGAATATTGTTGCGGTATTGGTTGTTGCGTATCACCTGGATTACATTTTCATCATTTATGGTATTATTGGTGCGCAAAACAGTTTACAAAATTATTCAGATATATCTGTTTGCATGAAAGATAAAATTTGTAATGTAACTTTTTTTACAATTTTATCATAGGATATTGGTTATAATTATGTTCCTGGTATGCTCCGGTGGTGGATGGTGGTATCGATATTGGTTACAAGGAAGATATAGAGCAGCTGCATCAGCTATTCCAACTAGAGTTTCCAATTCACGAGCTCAGAGTTCTCTTCGGGGTGGAACAATGTGTCAAGGGCAGAGAGCTCGTATAACGTATAATTCAGCAAGGAATACCGTTTTGTTGCATCGTATGTGGAAAGGCGAGTGTATACTCGTGACAATTAAACAATTGCGACTTATTCAATGTTGATCAATTTATTTGTATTGTTAGGCCCACAAAGAAATGGAGCGATACCCACGTACACCAGCAACAACGCAACAACATCGACTCATTACCAGAACATGAGCGTTATGTTAAATGATGCGAATTGTCCATATTATCAATTATATGGACCACCTCCAAGTTACGAAACCGTGATGGCTCAAACACGTGGTAAAGTATCTAATCCGGCTTCGCCAGAATCAACGAATGCCCGATCATCAAGCGTTGCGCCAAACGCAACGAATTCGAATGTATCCCAATGTTTCTCATATACGTGCAACCTCTCTACAGGATTGAATAACACTTTGGATCAAAATACTCAATATTCGAATGGTGATACGAGTTCTCGGCAACTTGAACGCCGAGAAGGTATCCCTTTTGTGCATTTTCCTCAATATTGCTCGGTCACAGACGGAACGATTAGGCAAAACGTATGTCTTCCTTTCGTCTATCGAGAACAACAATTCGTTCCTAGAGATACCTTTAGCCATATATATCAAACTAGTTCCATGAATTGTGTTCCATATCCGTTAGACAAATCAAATACCTCGAATGCAGAGAATCAAAATTATCGAATGACGAATACCGAAAGGTATACAATGGTAGAATGTACAGCAGGTAGTAGTAGAGAACAAGAAGTTTGGGAGTCGGATGATCGTTCAATTTCCAAAGTGCACGATAATCAAATAAAAAGGAATGCGAATGAAAGAATGAAAGAAAAAAATCTGGGAAGAGAAGAAGAAGAACATGAATCGGCAATAGGGACAAGTTTCTCTTCTCTCTTTAAAATCGAAGGAAGTAGTTCGAATGATTCAAAGTCGATCGAGAATTGGTTGGAAAGTTTCGATTCAGAGTTAACGAATGATCGTCGTATTTATGGTGGTTCTTTAAAAATAACCGGCAAATACGCTGATAAAGAAAGATTAGACAAATATTCCGTTCAAAGGGCTTTCTCGAAAATTTTGCCCCATTCTTGCGATGGACTTATTAATACAGAGCCAGCGTCTATCGATATATCTCATAACGTAAGTTCTTTAGAAGGAAGAGCTAACGTTAGTGCGAGTTCTTTTCAATCAAATCCATCCAATAATGTGATATTAAAATGTTTTGATTCCGACAACGCGTCTTTGTCCGTAGAGAATATCCAAAAATTTGAACAGTCTCTTTCTCGTCCCGTAAACACTAGTACAAATTCTGATCTTGAAAGTAAATATCGATTAGACAGATCTAAATCACTGGACTGATCACTCGTGGAATATTCGTGAAATACTTACATTTGCTATCGTATTACGCATATAGTGCTTATTCTTGTACTCGTTATTAATTCATACGTATTCGATCACGTTATTACCTTGAAATCGATCGTGTTAACGCGCTAATATATATTATGAATCGCGGTAAAACATTCAATTCATAAAATTCTTCTATAATCAATCCAACGAAACGCACTATTGTTTTCCGTTTTAAAAATTGATCTTTGAATCTCTCTCTCTCTCTCTCTCTCTCTCTCTCTCTCTCTCTCTCTCTCTCTCTCTCTCGCTTCATTTATCTTTTTATCTAAATATATTAAATATATTATTTATCTATGATGTGTATATATATATATCTAGATATCTACTTTATCTATTCATATCTTTCAATTTCAAGGCATGGAATTTAATTTCGTTAAACTGGGAAATGTATTTAAATATTATGTTTTATTTGATGTTGAGATCGTTGAAGTCACGAAACTAAAAAATCACCAATACGTCTAATATCAATATAGGATAGGTATATGTGATACCATTCAGATTCTCGTACAGAAGATAAGAGACTGACGGGACCACATTTAACACTATTCGTTCAATTTGTCTCGATTATTTATCAATTATATACAGAAATAATTTGTTATTTATCAACAGTCGTTACTACAACGTGACTCGATCTCATTTTTTTATACAATACGCGATACTGCCAAAAATCTTCGATCCTGTTCACTTCGATAATCGCTTTAAGTTATAAAGTTAATCGATTAAAAAGTGCATGCTTGATTATCTCCTTTTTCCTTCCACTTACGAATGAGCTCAACCAATTCCAATTACGCACAAAAGCGTCCCTCGACGCTGTAATTAATCGTCCTACATAAACGAGTACGTCGAGTATAACTCATTAGCGCACCTTTTTCTAATCTTGGCACGACAACTTTACAAGCTGTATAACAGTTTCTTATTCTATAATTATTAGATTAAACTTATTATATAAACCGTTTCGTATATTGTATTCTCGAGAAAGATATGAGAATCGGATCAATGAAATTGACGATGTATCGTATATTTTATCGAACAAAGGACACTGTACTTGATTTTCAATTCGAACATTTATTACGTGTTTGCGTGTTTTTCTAATATACACTTTAATACAATTTTGCGATTGTTTATGAATTTTCGATCGATATCTTGCCAAACGCAAGTCGATGTACGTAATCGTTATTAAGTTATTAAGATATGCAAGCAAGAATTTCACGATTATTGTTAATCTGTTAGATGGTAAAACGGAAGATATACGCGTATATGCGTATGAGAGAAAATGGTTTGTTGGCCGATTGCCATTGAGAAGCTAAAAGAGTATATTCGAGGATATAGAATGATGAAGCAGGCAGCCGATGGTACGAAACGCGAAAAATCAAAATTCAAGAAAAAATATTGAATTTTAATCCGTATTTACAGATAAACGCCGTTTTCCTTAAGTAATTACTTACCGATTATTCTCTTTCTCTCAAGTTGTATACTTGAAATCATGATATCGGTGAAAAATGAAACGCACGAATCAATGTCACTGTCGATGTTGTTAAAAGTAAGAAGGCATGTCTATTACCGCGAAACAGATTTATCCGACGGAAGCTGTGCGCGCCAGAGTTGCAGTTATTTTCGCAGCATGAGTGCAGTGGAGAGCAGAAATCGACTTGACGTACCATCGCGTTTTTAAATTTTCGATTACAAGTTTTTGATTATAACAGCGGTCCAAAAAACAACAGTGTACGTGCCAATAACGAGATTCGTTAGATAAGGTAATGTCGATTAGAGCGAGATAATCGATCGAGCTCGTAACAAAGGGAATATAACAATATACATATATANTGTGTGTGTGTGTATGTGTGTATATATATATATTATGTATAATATATATACAAATGCGTGTATGCGTATGCATTTAGAACATAAGTGTATACATATACATGCACAATTATTTTTTGTAATCGAATTAAAATGGACGAGCTGTTTTAACAGTCCAATCGAATAAAGGCTAATTAAATAACGCATAAGATATAAAATAACACGTCGAGTTACTATCGTATCGGATTAAAGAGGGTCTTCTACATATATAAGTTCAGGAAACATTATATTTTGTGTGCGTGCATAGTCTGCGTAACTCTAACGATCGATAACTAGTCCAAATGATCCTCTCACCGTAACGTGCAATCATGTTCGTATTAATATATTGTAAGATATATATTGTACCTCATATGAAAGATTGTCTTTGCTGAAATAAAGACAAGATATTTATTCATATAACTTACAACATATATATTTTGATCATTAGCGATCGCTATTTTTTACAAGTTTATCACCTTTTTCGTATAAAATTAAATTCCGATTATCGAATTGTTACTTCTCTATATATCCCGCGTTTATCCATTAAAATTATTCTTCGCGTGGATTTATTATAGAATTATTATTGCACGGTAACAGATTACCGATCGCGCAAAAAGAAAATTTTTCTCGAATCGATCGAATGGTTAGATTGAAGAGTGAGTGGGTTGATTGAAATGGGGATTGCGAAGGGGCGAGAAAGAAAGAAGAAAAAAAGAGAAAAAAAAGAACCGAGAGATGATGAAGAAGAGGAAGAGGAAAGGAAAAGTATAAGTATAAAAAAATGTGATTGATCGGAAAAATAAGACTCGTAATGGTTAGAGAATAAAATAATATAAAAGAAAAATAAAGAAAAGAAATGAAAAACTGTGACACTGACTGGGATGGTAAACGATATTGTTACCGGCACGAAGTGACGATAAAAGATGGCAGGTGCACTCAGGCTCGGAGGAAATCAATATTGAGAGAAGATTGGTAGAGGGGTTGAGGTGCATCGAAGCATCCCCCCATAAGAGAGAGTCACGGAAAGTTAGGAACGCGCCGATATAGCGGCCGAGCTGAGAAAAACGGTGGAAAATGTCATAGTCTCGTGGACGGAACAATTTCGAGCGTAATAACAATAACGTTCTCCTTGATTTTTCATCCATCTTTCTTTCCGTCCATTTCTCCGCTATCCCGCTTCGTTCGTTATCTGGTCGGTTCCCGTCTGCTCCCTTTTGTTTGAAAATTCGTATTTCCAAGCGACGAAAGATTCGCTCTCGGTACAGTGAATCGATAAATTGTAAGTGATAGTGTACAGTGACGTGCTGGACAAGATGTCGGTGAAGGTGAGTGATACGAATTGAAGAAACAGATGGATAAGAATGTTGTTCCAGAATCACTATCCGATCAGAATCGGATGATCGGATGACGGATAGACGATTCCGTTTCAATCGATTCCGAATAGCGATCGAGTTTCGATCCCGTACCTTTTATCTTACATTTAATTCCTTTATCTTTTTTTTTTTTTTTTTTTTTCATAAAGTGTTATCCTATCAACTGCGTACTCATTACGTAACAAATGTAATACGAACGATTTTCCCGGATAAGATTCTTCTTTCAGATTATCCATATGTACTACTTCCGAATTTAAGTGCATTATCGCGTAAACAATCCATCATTCGTCATCGATATATATATATATATATATATATATATTATACGCGTATTCTCGTACCAACTTAAATTATATATAATTTTTTTCTCATTCTGGTACGATGATGTGCCATTGATGTACCATTTCGTACTATTGACGCTCTGATTTTACGCAATACGCAAAATTACGAACACTATCGAATATATATACTTATAATATTAAAATTAAAAAGAGAGAAAAAAATCGCGTTACATCTTCTATACGATTAGATGCGATAATATTGAAGTTTGCGTTGAAAATATTATATCGGTGTTGAAATAGTGATTTGCAAACTATGGATAAACTAACGTGTAACGGTTGCGATATCGCTTGAAAAAGAGAAATTCATGGTAATTGTCGTGTCTCACAGATACCGAGTACGTACCATGAATATGAGGGAACACAATATGAGACAGAAAGCATTTTAATCGTATTAACGAGGCTACAAGTGTCCGTTTCCTGTTAGGAGGTCAGAGACGAAACAAGCAACTCGATTGTAGACGCGTGCGCGCTCTTCTTCGGATCCTCGTGTTTGCACGCGTGTACTTGCTCGCGCGTACGTAACTTGCAGTTTCAACACGAACGTTCATCGTGTTTCTTTCGCAGTGTCTCTTCTGTTTTCTTTTTTTTTTCAAGAATTATTATTTATATATGTCGATATCTTATCTTTTCTCGACAATTATTATTATTTATCGTCGATTTTGTTTTCGTTTTCACGAAAATCAGAATGTAGAATAATTAAAAATAATAATTTTCAATAACGTAATTTCGCGCGGTTTAAATCTTTTCGATTTTGATAGTTTCGATCGAAGAAACTAACCTGAAAATCCAAAGTAAATATGTAACATTTTCTATACGCGATGCTACAATTGCAAGCATCATATGGATTTGGATAGAATTGAAAAATTCTCCGCGAGGATCGATATATAATCATATATATATCGCCGTTGAATTTATCTGTATTTATCTATGTATTATTTTGGTTTCGTCCATGGTTAGAATAAAGTTCGCACTTGCGCATCATCGTTGGAGAAGACAATCGTGCGTTGTTCCTTCAAGATGAATAAAGAATCTACGTGTTTTTTTTTTTTTTTTTCTACTTTATTTGACTTATTTTATATATATATATATATATATATATATATATGTATATTCTTAATTTAGAATCTTCTACTTCGTTATTTCGTTAGACGCTGCGTAAACAATTTCAAGTAGCAAAGTAGACTATTTTCTCTCTCGTTTTATTTCCGTTTATGACTTAAGACACGTGGTCGACGTATATCGTTGTCTCTATCCCATTTTATGCGATCGCACAAACGACTGTACGAGCGACCATTCATTTCCATAATTGGAAACAATTCGGTTGAAACATTTTGAAGGAATTTCGCGGCTTTTAAAAAATTGGCCAGTAATTAATTACATTATCTCGTATTATACGGCTATATTGTGTAATAACAAGGCTTTATCTTTGGCAAAGTCGTTCCGTGTCAATTCGTAAAAGAATGTGGAAAAGAAGGGATGCCTATCTATGATAAATAAACGCAAAAATAAATTAATTTATATATGTATATATATATATTTATACGGGTAGCGTTACGAACGTGATTTAATACGTTTACTTAATTTTGTCTTAGATGATGATGTACAAGCAAGCCGAGTTCGAGGACGAAGATAGCAGTAGCATCGGTTCCGTGGCTTTGAACAGCGAGGGCATTAGCACATCGGCCACGCATATACGATACAATTCGGTTAGTAATTGAACTCAAGAGAGGGAATCCATTTTTTTTTTTTTTTTTTTTTTTTTTTTTTTTTTTTTTTTTCATCATCGTTGATTCGCAAAAGTAAAGCGTGTACGTCTCTGTACGTAACGTTTCGACGTTTCGTAAAGATAACTGTTAACAGGAGCGAAAAGAGCTAAAGATACACGCATGTAAATTGTATGTAAGTATGAACGTATCGAGGGTATATACGTATCGTATGTATTACGTAGGGGATCTCGCTGTGGAGAGCGAGAAGCGCTCTCGAGAGATGTCTTTTCATCATTTGCGCGGGCCTCCTGTTGATGGTGATGATGCTCTCTATAGTGATCAGCAGCAAGAACGGTTGGGACGAAGCACAGATACTTCACGTTACTTCCCATGGAGAAAGTAAGAGGTGGAACGCGGTTCCAAAGTCGCGATTTTTAATTTATGCAAATCATAAAGATAAGAATTTATCGATTCGGAGTGTGGCGGTGGTCCATGTGTTTGTTTCAGATGGTACACATTGTTTAACCGAGCACTGCATCACGATAGCCGCTTCCATTATAAACAGCATAGATCGTTCGGTCGATCCATGCGACGATTTTTACGAATACGCGTGCGGCGGTTGGATCAAGAAGAATCCTATACCGGATGGGAACAGCATGTGGGGAACGTTCGACAAGTTCGAGCAAGAAAATCAGCTAATTGTGAAAAATGTCCTTGGTAAAAGAGGGGAAAATCCTTGGTAGAATCCTTCTTGGTATTCTCCCTGGTGGTTGTTAAAATTAATCCGTTATTGAATTAGGATCGATCTTTTCCGTTTTCTTCTCTCCTCTGCTACACGCACCCTTCCCCCCTCCCCCTTCCACTCCCCTCGTTTCTTCATTTCTCATACTTTTTCTCTTATCTATAGAGAAACCATTGGTCGAGATGAAATCAAAGGCCGAGAAAAAAGCAAAGTATTATTTTCTCTCGTGTATGGACGCGAACGATACGATCGAAACGCTCGGCGCGAAACCGATGTTGGACTTGTTGGATACTATCGGTGGATGGAACGTTTCTGGCAAATTCAATATAAGCGAATGGTCTTTGCAGAACAGTATGCATATTCTGCAAAATGTTTACAACATGGATGGTTTATTTACATGGGCGGTAAACGAAGATGATCGAAATAGTAGCAGACACATTATACAAGTAAGAAACGAAGATGGATATTTCGAAAGTGAAGCGAGAACAACGTTCGAACAATTTTTTTAAAAAAAAAAAAAAAACCGATTTCTTCGACTTTCAAGATCGATCAGGGAGGTTTAACGCTGCCAACCGTTGACGATTATCTCAACATCACCGAACACGGTAAAGTGTTGGCTGCTTATTTGGAATACATGACAAAGGTACGCGCAACGCGAATGATTATCGTTTCGTTTATCTCGCCCATTTCGTCCTGTTTCTCGCAAATCGGCGAATCAGTGAGTATATATACAGGTAGCTTCGTACACGTTTGCAGATAGGCGAGCTGTTAGGCGGAGAGAAGAACTCGACGAAGAAACAGATGCAGGATGTGATACAGTTCGAAACGAAATTAGCGCGGATCATGACGTTACCCGAGAATCGTCGGGATAAAGAAAAGCTTTACAATTTGATGTCGTTGAACGAACTTCAACGTAAAGCTCCTTTCGTAAGTACACAAGTAGAGCCGCGTGAATCCGCGTGCTATCGGTCGGCCTACGTCTAACGCCGTTTTTTCACCTTCGATAATTAATATTAAAAAAGTATAATAGTACTAGGGTATAGGTATAGGTAGGTGGATAGATAGGTAGATAGGTAGGTGGAGAGTAGATAGTAGATCGAATATCACCGTCCTATAATTGAGGATTCGCTTAATTTTTAGATGTCGTGGGTAGACTATTTTAAAAATGCGACGCGCATCATTAACAAGAAGATCAACGACAAGATGATGATCGTGAACTTTGCCCCGGAATATTTTGTCAAATTGTCCGACCTGGTATTAGACTACAACAAAACGAACGAAGGAAAAGTGTAAGTTTCCTTCCCTCCTTCCTCCTCTCCTCCCCCGTCGAAATTCGAGCATATTGCATCTCTTTATCCCGTGTATCCTCTCTCTCTCTCTCTCTCTCTCTCTCTCTCTCTCTCTCTCTCTCTCTCTCTCTCTACTTTTTCCCCTTCCCCTCTCGTACCCCTTTCTTCCCTTTTTTTTTACTTTTTCTCTTTCTCTTTCTCTTTTCTCCCAAACAGGATACTGAATAATTATCTGGTTTGGCAAACGGTGAAATCTCTAACCACCTGCCTGTCGAAACCGTTTCGCGACGCTTACAAGGGCCTGAGGAAAGCTTTGATCGGTTTGGAAGGCCAGGAGCAGCAATGGCGTTATTGCGTCAGCGATACGCATAACGCGATGGGTTTTGCGATCGGTGCCATGTTCGTTAGAGAAGTTTTCCATGGAAAGAGCAAACCCATGGTTAATTTACACTCACTTATATACTTTTCGATAATGATAATAATAATAATAATAGTAATAATAATAATAATAATAATAACAGTAATAATAATAAAAATAAATTACACACGTGCTCTCCGTCTCTCCCTATTTTCGTTCGGGAGCACGTTGACGAGCGAATTCGACTTTAAATCGCGATCAAATCGATTTTCCAGGCGGAGAAGATGATCGACCAAATACGGAAAGCTTTCACCAAGAATTTGAAGAATCTGGATTGGATGGATCCGAAAACGAGACGGGCAGCCGAGGAGAAAGCGAACGCGATTACCGACATGGTCGGTTTCCCCAATTTTATCTTGAACCCGAACGAGCTCGACGAACGTTACAAGGATCTGACGATCAACCAAAACGAGTATTTTCAAAATAACATACGGGTGAACAAGTATAATTTACGAAAGAATTTAGAAAAGTTGGATCAACCTGTGAACAAGACTACGTGGATCATGACACCGCCAACGGTGAACGCTTATTACTGGCCAACGAAAAATCAAATGGTTTTTCCCGCTGGTATCCTTCAGAGCCCGTTCTACGATATGGAAAATCCAAACAGTTTGAATTACGGTGGTATAGGAGTCGTGATGGGACACGAATTGACTCACGCGTTCGACGATCAGGGTGAGTAGTAGAATAGTAGACGTAGTGTGAAACCAAAAATATATATATATATATAAAGATTTCGTATTTATTCGCCGTTTCGTCATTCTTAGGAAGAGAGTACGATTTGCACGGAAACTTGAATCATTGGTGGAACAATGCCACGATAGAGAGATTCAAAAATAGAACGGAGTGCTTCGTCGAGCAGTACAGTAATTTCGAGATAAATGGCCGACATGTGAACGGATTGCAGACATTGGGTTAGTCGCGTTACCATTCGCGATACGCGAAATATCGTATACAGTGTTATACACACACACACACACACACACACACACGTTGTATCGTTTTCACGTATTGTTATTACGCACCATTCATTTTTATTGCAGGGGAAAATATCGCGGATAACGGTGGTCTCAAAGCAGCGTATCACGCGTATCTCTCGATCCCAAAAAGCTACAAAGATCAGCTACCCTTGCCAGGTCTTAATTTGACGCATCGACAATTGTTCTTTCTGAATTTTGCTCAGGTAAAATTGTCGTTTCATCCCCCTCCCCCTCGTTGCTTCCTCGCTCATCGTCGTTCATCGATCCCGAACGAATCTTTTCATGGAACAGTGAAGGGGATGATAACGTTTGTTCTCAGGTTTGGTGTTCCGCCATAATGTCCGAGGCGGTAGCCCTTCAAATCGAGAAAGACGCTCATTGTCCATCGAAATTCAGAGTGATAGGATCACTCTCGAATCTACCAGAATTCGCTACGGAATTCAATTGTCCCGAAGGCTCGCGGATGAATCCGGTTCACAAGTGCGAAGTGTGGTAATGCATCTCGTTTTCCTAGAAAATCCTTTGTCCGATGATTGTCGATGCAAAAAATTTCGCATCGTTTCGATCCAATATTGTCGGTGTAATATACGGTATAATGTACGGTATATATATACGCGAACGTTGTCAAAACTCAAACAAGCAAACAAACAAGTAAGAAAAAAAAAAAAATAAAAAAAAAAAAAATATGCTTCCGCTTCTATCTTTAGAGCTAGGCGGCTCTTCCTTCGACGTTTCGATTTTTATTCGGTTACGAGATAAATACGTTTCGCGACGACAAAATCATACTCGGTTCGCGCTTTATCATTTCACCTCCTATCACCGTTCCTCCACGTGGGAATTGGATTCGTAAACATAGTATTCCACGAATAAAAGAAACGTCGAAAAAAATCGTAGAAGCGACGAATGCAACGAATCCAGTTTGCGACAACGTGATTTTATCCGGTTTCAAACGTTAAATTCAATTAACGTCCATTTCGCCAATTCGCGTTGGGTGATTTATTCGAAATTCTAGCGAATAAATCGAACACCGAACATTCAAGATCTCGCGGCTTAATGCGCGTTTGATGTATCGGTTTAAACTGTGTATTCGACAAAATCAGCTTCGAAGCTGGATTAGAAAGATACTAGGACCATATACGGTTATATACGAATCGTTCAATTTCCTCGTACGACGTTGCGTCGCGCCAATGTTTTTCACTAACTAAATAAATTCACTATGGTTCATCGCGATCACTGGAAATATTTGAAATCCATTGAATCGACCGACCGACCGACCGACCGACCGACTAACCGACCGACCGATCGACCGACAGACCGATCGACCGATCGAACAATCGACCAACTGACCGACTTTATACTTTGTATACCATAAGCGATCGTGTTTCTGCGCGATAACTGATTTTTCACTTTTATACTTATACTTGAAATCATGTATTGATTATCCGTTCGAAACTATTCTATTACGCGTTACAATTTTAACATTGCACGTAAATTTATAGCAATAAGTTTACAATACTATATATTTACTTGAAACTTGACGCGTATAAAGACGTACCGTTTTGAAATTCTGTCTTTGATTAATCTCTCCTTGGCAGAGCACATATCTATTATCTGCATATCTATCCGTTTATCGACACGATGCGTTATTAACTAAACTAAGAAAAAAAGGGAAATTAGGGAAATTAGGAGAACGACAATTTTTAAAATACGAGAAAAGAAAGGAAAGAAGATAAAGGAAATAAAAATGAATGAAAAAAAACGTAAAAAGAAGGAGAAAAAGAAAATAGAATGATTAATTCACTCGGTTAAAATTCTTTATCCGTTTCTCTCACTCGTAATGGAGAAGTAATTTTCACGGATCTCGATGAGCCATGGCGATCACAAACAGCGTATTGCTGTAATTTCTGCAGGCAGGAAGTTAAGATCTTAGCATTAAGCTTAAGAAATTAAATTTTCTAAAAAAAACAAAAAAATACTACGTGCTATATATATGATGGAATCAATATTCGTTGAGCAATATTCGAAGAATCGCTATGAACGTTCGAACATATTCATATACATATACAAATATATATTTCAAATGTATATGTTAACGCGTGTATGAATTTTATCGAGTAAAGACGAAAAAACGAGAAATAGAATTTCGATTGTTCCAATCACGAGGATTAGGAGAAAGAATAAATAAACGATGATCCACTTCTATCGTACTTTTGTCGATGTTATCGTAAGAAACGTACGTTTGACGCAATTAATTAGATATTCTTAACTTTTATTTTTCTTCCTTCGTTTCGACCATCGTTGGTCATTCGAACGTTCATAGTTGAAGAATGAAAATGAAGAAACGATTTGTCAAAAAATTACCCGCATTTCATGCTCAATTAATTTTTCTTTATCTCGATTCGACGACGAATAAAAAATACAAATTGACGACGGCCTCTTGTTGTCTTTTTATAAAATACATATTTTATAAAAGAATGCAACAAAGTTCGACGAACAAGTGTTGTGCGTCGAATGAGAAGAATTCTTAGAAGTATTACGTAATATTCGAAAACATATATTTCTTAACGACGCACATGTAAATCAAAAAAAAAAAAAAAAAAAACAAATGAAATAACGAGAATTTTATTAGCAATTAAAGGAAAAGAAAAAAAGAAAAAAAGAATGGAATACACGAGAAATTCGTATTATTTTTTGCATTTCCTTTTCTATTCTATCTCTCCTCCCCTCTTCCCTTTCTTTTCTTGCGAATCGCAATCAAATTTCAACAGTTAAGACGAATTAACTTAAAAATTTCGTTTTACCGATCTATCCCGCCGTATTAACGCTCGGGATAATCGTGTGAAAAATTACGAATTCGATAAACGGTACGAGTACGGTTCGGTTCGATCGATCGAGAGATCGCGATCGTCTCAACTTTCGATTTTTTTCCTTTCCTTCTCGATCGAGAATCGTATCGGGAAGTTTTTAGAAAACGAGTCGAGTTACGAAAAGATCGTTAATTTAAAAAAACGAGTCGGCCAATTTGTCGAGAATCGTTATTTTGCAAACACGACACATTGCAGAAATGTTATTTTAAGAGTCGAGTAGCGATCAGTCGTTCGAACGATACCGAATTTATCGATAAAAAAACACGTTCGAAACACGTTCGAAACGTTTTAAATAATCAAAATCAGAAGTACAAAGTCGAGAATTTAATCCACCACCACCACTGCGTATTTCACGTGCCTCCTTTTCTCTTTTTTTCTCAACTTCAAGATTTCAACGTTTCAAGATTCAATCCTGCTCGATTCGCGCTTTCCTTCGCGATCGTTGCGCAATCATAAATATATTGATTTTACGACTTTGTCTTCTGATATCCGATCGATGATCAACCCAAGATGAAAGGTAAACGTACCGATAATCGAGTCAAGTTATTCGATCCTCAACACCAATACTTACGTATTCCAATAGATTAAATCGAATTGATGTTGGAAGCGTTCAATCTTGAAAATTGAACGCGCGATATCGATATATATACGCGCGTACAATCCACGTGTAATCCACTATCCGATATCTACTCGGGAATATCGGCTTTGAATTGATAAAGTGTAACCGTATATATTAATTTTCACCGCTCGCAAAGTATGATCAAGCGGCATTAATGTCCGTTCGAATATCTTACAAGATGGTTATAATTGGAATACTGTAAACCTAATAACCGGAGGTGTCGGAATAAATCACGGTGGCTAGCTAGCACCGGTAGTGCGTGAGTCCCTCCATTCATCATCGGGTCGCCGCGCCGCGCCGGTCCTTGCTTTCCGGTAAATCGTTCTGCATTTTCGACGAAGAAACGCCTTTATTACGGTGCACGCACTAACCCCCCCTCCCCCTTTCTCTCTCTCTCTTTCTCTTTCTCTCTATTCTCTCTTTCCCGTTTACCAAACCCCTTTCCCTGCCGTACTATACTTATACCTGTCTAGACGAATGAATCATACGAGTATTTTCACCCACCAACCGTGTAGGTGGTACACGGAAAATTGGTCAGATTCCTCGTACGGTCTTTTAACGCATTCTATATTCGTTCCGATAGTCCTTGTTCAACGACGTTCGACGACGAAAAGGTGACGAACATCGGAACAGCGTATTCTCACTCCAACTTCTCCATCTTATATTCCAATTTATAATAAGTCGGAATGGTCACCTGTATATTCTATATATTCCGTGAAAAACCGTTTAAAAGATCCTTCGTGCGAACGATTCGAACGTTATACCGACGATTAATTCGACGCTCTCTCTCTTACTTGGGATTCATCGTCGATCACAAACGTAATAAGAGTCGTTAAGAGAAAAAAATGTATAGATAAAAGATGATACGTATTCGAGTATTCGAATTGTCTTTTTTTTTTTTTTCTTTTTTTTAAAGAAAAATTCATGAAAGCTCGAGGATGATAGGGGAAAGAAATATAATATTTGGTAAAAAAAATAATTCATTAATGGGAACGGATCGGAATGTTGAAGAAGAACGAAGAAACAGGGATCATTTTTTCAAGCCACCTGCTGTCGTTGATGCAGTTGGACCAACCCTCGCGCCTTGTCGTCGATCCTCGAACGATGACAAACGACAACGGCGACGCGTGGGGTATTCACCTAATAGGGAACATGTGAAAAATACGATGATTTTTAAGGAATTTTTTTTTTTTTCCCCCCCGTTCCTTTTGCTCCCAATTTTCTATTTTCTATCTTTTTTCGGTTTTCAACTACGTTAACGTATTTTGAAAAAAGAAAGAAGAAGAAAAAAATCATTCTCGTATCGCAAGATCGATCGAAAAGTTCTCTCTCAAATCTGACGATTCAGCTCGAATATTCAGATCGAATATGCCGATCGGGACCATGCATCTCGTCTTCCGTGATCGAACGTAGACACACGTCACAGTTCGAGAATAGTCGATTTCACTGTTTTGCAATGCATCGCGTAATGCATTTCGTATCGAGCAAGCGATTTTCGATACAACGAAGGATTTGAATCTCGTTTTGAAAGTCGATTTGGATTTTAAATGCGTGAAAAGAAATCATTCTTCTACCTTGTTCTTCCATCCTGTGTCCTGTGTCGCTCTTCTTTTATTTTATTTTATTTTATTTCTCTCTCTCTCTCTCTCTTCTTTGTTATCCGCTGTCCATCGATCGGACAGTTGGCCTGGTCGATCTAAAAATTCGATCGATTTTTGAGAATAAGCCGGTGAGCAAACATCGCAGATATCCTAATAAAATATTAAATCTTTTCTCTCGTAATCTTTTTTCTCTTGAAATACATCGAGTCGCGACGAAGTTCAATTTCGAAGGCCTTGAAATTTTGGCCAAAGATAATTTTATCGAAACTTTTTTGTTTTTCTTTTCCATATATATATATATATATATACACTCGTTCAAATATTCAAAAAATTCTACGACGAAACCGACGAACGAACGAATCTGGAATAAATATCTTCGTTCGGTAATCGAGATGCGCAAAGTGGCGTCAAGAGAATCGAAGGCGAAATTGGAAGAAGAAAAGGAGAAGAGAACGGGGGATAGATTTTAAGGAAGAAAAAAAAAAAAGAAAGAAAACGAAGATAAAAGTTAAAGGATATTACGAAGGGGGAAGAAAAAGGCAATGGATGGATGACAGAAGAAAGGTGAACCTCTCTGATTAAAGGGTCGGGAAGGACGGGAAAGGGGCGCATGACGAAAGGGGGAACGAAAGGCTTGGGGTGGAGATGCGTTAAGGTGGCTACGAGAATGGGGCATCGGTGGAGGCGAAACTGGTAGCAAAGAGAACGAGGAGTTACAGGAGGAGAATACGGGCATGGAAAGGGAAGAGGTTGTTAGTGGTGGTAGTGGTGGTGGTGGTGGCGGTGGTGGTGGCAGGGATGGCAGTGGTGGTGGTGGTGGCGATGGTGGTTGTGGTGGTGGCAGTGGCGGCGGTGGTGGTGGTGGCGGCGATAGCGGCAACGGCGACGGTGGTGGCGGTAGCGACGACGACGACGGCAGTGGTAAGTAGAGAGGTAAAGAGAGTCGTGATGGTAGTGAGATAGTATAATATGCAATGCTGGGAATGGTGATGGCGATGAGACAGTGTTGGAGGTAATAGCGGTAGTAGTGGTGGTGGTGGTGGTGATGGTGGTGGTGGTGGTGGTGGTAGAGGTGGTGGTAGCAGCAGCGGCGGTGGTGGCAGCGGCAATGGAGGTGGTGGAGGAGAAAGAGAAAGAGAAGGTGGGGGTTAGTCTATGGTAGCGGGTGCACGATCGGCCTTTACATACGAATACGTAAGATACTACGGAAGAGAAAAGGCGGTCTACGTGCACGAGAAAAAGAAAGAGAGAGCGAGTGAGAGTAAAAGGTAGAGAGAG